ATTTCATGACTTTTACTGGTTTCATTATATTGTTTGTTTCCAATTAGAGAGAGAGAGAGAGAGAGAGAGAGAGAGAGATCTAAAATCTGACAGGCTACAGTCTCACATGACAACACAAATGCATTAGTTTATTTTATTTTTCAAAATTATGATCCGTTTCACTGAATTCTTAGCCATTATTTCACATTGTTGCTTTATTTCCTACATGACATATCTCTAGTTGAAATGATTGCCACACTTCTTCTTTTTTTCAGCTCTGATGAGTTACTCTTGGAATGAATGAAGTAAGACGGAGGTGTTCTAGCACTAGGGTTGTAATAACAGATATATTATTAATAAACCTACTAAGCAACGTAATTTTTCGGTTTTGACTGAAAGCGACAACTTCTCAAATCTGGCAATATGAGAAGGGTCAACATGAGCATGTGCAGTAAAATAAGGATTAAAGCAGCATTTCCCCTTTAGGTAAAATACTTAAGCGTAATGTGTCAGGTTCAGAGAGTCGAAAAACTTAATGTTAAATTTTCTATTTTATTGACATACATCTATGATTTTTGATTGTTGTTCCCCAGCTATGTGTACTGGTCGTCACAGGATCTCCAGCAGGGTGTACTTTGAAATCTTCCAGCAGATATTTTGTGATGAGTTGTAATAACTCTTCAATCATGCCACTGCTTCAACTAGTTTTTAAACAAATTATGGTTTGGACTTCTTCTTCTTTCTTCTTCTTTTTTTTTTGCTTTAGACTACTGGATAGTTTGGCTTAAAACTATTTAAACTTGTATAATTCACTCCTATTCGATCAGTGATCATGTACACTGATGGGGACTTCCAACATGACTGCTTTGCTGAACCATTGTAAAGGCTAATTTATGGTTATAGTTTTGGGTGTTGTGTACCTGTAGGAAATAACACACGTTGTTCAGGACACCTCAGGTTTTGCGATATTCGAAGCGAGATACGCAGAAAAGGCAACGCTTTGTCAAAGATAGTCCAATCCAATCAAAGTTTTATGCAGCTCTCACTCAGACCACTTATCACAACATGTACAGTAGCCTCCGCGTACAGTATTCACAGTAAGCGACACTCAGGCATGAGATCACAACAAGCACGAACCGTTACCAAATATAGCCTAGACAGAGATGAAGCAGTGCAGAAGCAACATTTAAGGCAGTTTTGGAAGAAATTCAAACACTGAAAGAAGATCGCAGCACTTCAAGAAGGGTCGTGGTTCCCCTCCCTTTCAGTCTCCAAAGCACAGAACACAGTCAGCACACTTTCACATACAAAGACATGTTTGCTCCACTTACCCCCGCTGGCCTCCCGGTGCTTCTGTAAATACGGGCTTTTTATCAAAGTGTCTCCGGCTGAAAGACACGGACAGATCCTGTCCGCTATATTTAGGAAACTGACAAACTCGGAGCTGCGAGAGGTTTGGCTCCTCCCACTGGAGTGTGTGTATAGCAGCGTCTGTACGTGTGTGCTTGGATCTTCCAACACACTCACACTGACAGACATACACGATTTGTACTGCAGTGTGTACGTGTCTGAAACAGGGCTGTAAATATGAGTTCACATTTATACTTTAAACGTGTCAGTGTAAGTAGCTCGCTAACGAATAAAACAACGCTTCAGAAAACAATCTAGATCTTCTTTGGTGGATAAGGGGCACAAAGGGTTAGCTGACCTTCAACTCTGAGACACACTACACCCCACCCAAAAAAACAACAACATTCAAATAAATAAAAAAGACAAAAAATAAAGAGATGATTACTTAAAAATGACAACAACAAAAAAAAAGAAAACACACACACACAAATTGGTACACACCTAAAGCAATCACAAACAGAAACAAAATGGCCACTGTAATGTGAAAAAACACACAAATAACTCCAACAATAAGAGACAAACTATTGCTTTATTACATTAAAGGGCAAAACAACCAAAAGCAGCAACAAATTGGCCACTAAAATGACAAAAATAACAGCAAAAAAAGATACAGAGGAGATGCAAAATGACTCCAAATGAAGCAAAACTACAGAAATATGGCACAAACTTACAATAAAGGCACAACTACACTAGATATGGCTGCAAAAAGACCAACTCAGTATACAAGACCACACAACCCATGCAAAATATACAAATACTAAAGAAGTATGAAACATCTGCAAAAACATGCAAAACATTCTGTCATCACTTTTTGTCTTCTTCTGTAATTTTGTATGTGTTTTCATTTCAGTGACTCTTCACTGTGGGAGAGCTGGGTGTTCATGTTGGTGCCCAGGCCCCAATATTTCATCTGTACATGGGTGTATTCAATCTAGTACTTTATTAGTTTAAATCACAGATGCAATCTTTCAAAAACAGGAGATCAAGACTTTTTAGGCGGAAAACACAGCATGTGAGTCGGCACTCACCCAAACACAGACCCAGTATAATAATTGATCCATTGATATTTTAATTTAGCCTGTGCCTCAAGGAGGGGTGAGAAAGCTTGTGACTGTGAGGTCACTGGTTTAAATTTCTAAGGCAGCTGAGAAGATCTGCTCGAAGCAGAACATTCAGTGTTACATTCCTCCTTCAACAACACTGCTGGTGAAGCTTTGAGCACCCAGCTGAAATCTTTAGATGCTGCCTGAAGACCACTGGAGATTTCTCTGCATGGAAATTTTTAATTGTTAAGAAACATAAACCAAATCATTCAAACTCCAAGACAGACCTGACTTGCATAAGGGTAAATAAACTGTGAGCATGTCATGCTTCTCTCTTCTATTGTTATATGTTACAAGTTCAGTTTAGTTACATTAAAGCAGCACACAGAAGTCACGCCTGAGGACACACAGCAGGCCTTGTGCTGACTGAGCTGCCACCAGTATATTTTTTCCTTCAGTGCCTTCTGTGCAATTCAACCTTCAGTTTATTCTGCACAAATGTAAAGATAAAAAATTCTTTACATTTGTAGAATACTTTTCTGAAGTACAATACTTGTCCGTATACCTCAAATACTATTTCATTGCTAATCTGATGTTTCAGTTTCTCTCATGCAAGTCGTGATTCTTTACTAGTAAAAGACTGAAGCAAGCTTTACATATGATCAGATAAGACAAGATCCTGGATGCTGCAAACAAAACAAAAGACGATAACAAAAAGAGTTTTGCTGTATAATTTTTATTTATAAACAATTATAATTGACTTCAGATGAATCTAAATACCTGTAGTATTAGAAATAATGACTGTAGAAAACTTTAGAAGAATTCTATACAATCACTGATTAGAAAAAGAAAACCTCTCCTAGTTTCAATAAAATGGCATATTTTCCCATGTAGCTTGGGAAAACCAAATTATTTTTTAAACCAATATTAATGCAACAACTTGCAATGAATTATTAAGCCCAGTCTAATCTGTTCAGCAGGTGTGGATATTTACAATTAAGTGATGTAAAAAGACTCGTACTGTTTAACTGAACCATACATTATTATATATTTAGAGGCTTGTAGTTTCTCTTCAGAGAGATGAGTTATTTTTAAAGTTCAGTGGGTAAAAGGTAACCTCACAGAGCATTTCTTTGAGAACATGTGTCTGTGCCAAGGGAGGATCAGTCATATTAAAAATGAAACCCAGTCCTTCAAGGATACGAGTATAGAAGCCTGTAGTGCCCTCGTGTGTCCTTACCCCACGTGACAGCTGAAGTGCACTTGACTCGAGCTTCTTTCACTGAAGTTTTACTTCTTTATAACCATCTGACCTCTGCTTAATTGAAAGACAAGTTTTGATGACTTTTTATTAATTATAATTTCATTTTTCATACATTTTCCAACAACATACAACTCAAAGTTCCAAATAACCCTCTATTAAAATGAATGATTTTTAAGCTCTTCAATTTTAAGAAAAGGCATCTATTAATGTGTGGCAGTAAACATTTTGCCCTAGTTTACAGCAGTTTCACCTGCTACACATCCTCTTAATGTGGGTCAGTTTGTGGCACTTTTTAACCAGTTAACAGCTGAAATTTATTTAAAATAAGAAAAAAAACTTTTTATGCACCCATCAAAAGGTTCTTTTAAGGTTCTTGTGAGCTTGTCTGCTACTACATCAACTAATTACGTTTTTAAATTAAACCTAAAAACCTACGTAACTATTAGGTTAGCCCTCACCATGTTTTTTTTTTTAAGTGAGTTGTCCCTTCTTACACAATAGATTTAAAACTTACATTAAAAAAAACTCGTGTTCACTTCTATTTAAAGCCATGAAACATTTAACATGCAATTAAGTAAAAAGTAAAATGCACTATTTATAAAAACTTCGAGGTTGAAAAACAAAAACACATCCTGCTTATCTAAATAGAGAAATAATAAAATACTGATAAGTGAATGTTCATCATTTCTCGCCATTGTGTACCCTCCTCTGCCTTCTTGTCATTTAAAATAGGGCAGCATCATCAGTAGTTATTGGTAATAAACAGAGCAATATTATTTCAGAGACATCAGACAACTGTGTACAGTGCATGTGAATACTAATGGGAAATGCTGTGATGTTTTATACTGTGAAAGTACATTTTAACCTAAACCTGAACCTAATGGTTAGCTTGATGATCAAGCTTAAAAAAGCTTTGCTGCTTAAACCTAATAAAACAGAGAACTAAACAAGCAAAAACTAAATAGCAGCCAAGTGTGAGGGACAGGTCGACATACTCCAATATGTTTGTGACTGATCAAAATTATAAAAAGGTTACACTGCCTTTTCATTAACATTAAAATATGTTGTGTAAATGTATTACATTACAGGGATTACTGTGCTTATTTGATATCACAGCTTTACACCAGTTCATCTCTTCATTGTTTTAGAAGCAGCCAGGAGAGAAGAGAACAGAGACTCTGGCCTTTGGTTCAGGACATCTGGGTGGTCCAATTCTGCCACCTGTCAAAGAGAACACTTGGTAAGTTGAGGCTGAAGATCATATACGGATTAGTTTTGTCTAACCGTCTTTGTTACCTGTCCATTGTTCATGACTAGAATACGATCTGCATTCATCACTGTGTTGATGCGATGTGCTAGGTGAGCACAGTGCTGTCTTGAAAGCCCTCTTTGACTGTCTTTTGGATCAGAGCATCTGTTTCTGGATCTGTGGAGGCTGTGGCTTCATCCAAAAGAATGATCTATCAGACAATATGAGCCTCTGTTACTGCAGGAAAGTACTGATTTAAGGAGGAGCACATGGAAAGAAACAACTTCTCTCCAGATCTCCTCATCAGTGTACTTATTGAACGGATCCAATTTTTGGGGTATACAGTTGTATCTCTAGAGAGTTGATAAAGATAGATATATGGTCAGATTATAGATATTTTAGAGATTATAAAAACAATCAATGAACACTATACTCGGACAGCACAACTTTTTAAGCTCTTCAGTTTCACCCGATATCTCTCTTCCAATATGAACATAAACCTGCACAAAATGCAGTTATTTTCTAAGTTCTAAGACATCAATAAAAGTTAAAGTAGCTAACAGAGTCATATCATGACAGCTAGATTGAAGGCACAGACACTGTCACACATGGACTTTGAGAAATGTGCCACAATGGTGCACCTGTCCCATAACATCTCCGTTATTCCAAACATTTCTTACATGTGTCTTCATAGTTCACCATGAATTAAATAGTGCATTACAAATCATATAATAATAATAATAATAATAATAATAATAATAATAATAATAATAATAATAATAATAATAATAATAATAATAATAATTTCATGCTCATGTTTTTTATACCGTTGTTCATCATTCCAACATCTTCACCAGGTCTGAGCTCAGATTCATTCAAGTTGGCAGGATCCAGGGACATCACTTCATCTTCCATCTGCTTCTGAAAAGAGAACAATAACAGTTTCACAGTTAGGTCTGCATACTTAACATAATAAAGCTTACAGAACTCAGTGAATTCAAAGCAACAAAGAACTGATACTAAGGCTTTTGAGCTAACTGAACAGTAAGAGTAACAGAGCTACAAACATTTGTACTGCAGTTTGTGTGAAATCCTTACTTTAGACTCTTCCATCTGGTAGTTGCTGATGAGTTGAGCATAGCGCCCATTTGCATTCATCAGGGCTTGATGGTTTCCAGCCTCCTGAACCTCACCATCCTCCAGAACCAAGATGCCATCACAGAACTCCAAATACTAAAAGACACAAGTTAAGACAACTGTGAGAAATGCCCCCCCCCAAACACTCTTGTTGCATCTGAAGTGGAGTGACTTACCAAAATGGTTCACAATTTGTGATTAAAACAATACCATTAAGTTTAAGTTTCAACAATCACAGCACAGTGATTTATTTAGATTATATACCAGGTGTGACCAAGAAGTTCCAAGACTGCCTATAAAAGCAAAGCTAAAACCTAAACAGGTTTATATTTCTATATTTCTTGAAGGTGGCCTTTTCAGGGAAGACTGCACTGCTTCAAGTATGACTGCTTTTAGATTAGTCCCTAGAAGCCCTGCTCTGGCCACCTGAAATTCCCTTTCAGCAGACTCTTTCAATTCCTGATGAAAGCCAATGCACACTATACTTTGCTCATAGGGAACAACCTTCAGTGGACTCTGAAGACTGCTGATGAACAAAGTGTGAGAACAGTTGATCCAGGGAGGGGGACAAAGCAGTCAAAATGTGCAGAATAAATTAAAGTTGAAGGTGAGCGAGAGTGCACTTTTTATATATTACTCCATATGATTTCTGGGAGGTCAAAGTCAACATTGTTTAACCAATATAGTTACTCAAGTCCCCAAAGGTGTAGTGTATTTTTATGAAGCTTTGAAGACAGTCCATAAAAAATTCTGGGTAATATAAAGTTTTTACCAATTTTAACAGTAGGTGTGAGCAACCTTGACCCAATTATCACCAAAATTAAATATGCTTAAGCTCTTATTAAGATCTAACATCACACAAAATTTGAAAACGATAAATTTAAAACTGCTAGACTGCTAAGTAACTGACAAACAGAACCCATACACACGCCCTCCCTCTGGGAGGAGGAAAAGCAAGCCTTTACAGTATATCTACCCTTAATCATTTTAGTGACACTCCAGCTTCAATTATCCACTTCACAGACATAAACATAAGAGCAATGCAGTAACTCATGAAGATGAAGATGGCAAAAGTGGTAAAGGCCTGGAAATAAAGAAAAATACAGGAAAATTTCAATTTGTGGTAAACCACATTTAAAATTTGTCATTACTGCTGTACTTCTGTGGTACTCACACTAGCTGCACAAAGTGGCAAGCCTATCACGGGGTGTATAAAGAGGGTCAGAACGGTGGCAAAGGTGGCAGAGATTAGGGTAGTGGTACAATTAGTAGCCTGGATGTAACCCACCAACTTTAGTTGTTCCTTTTTCTTTTTTCTAAATCCTGTGAGAGAAAAAGTTTGCCAGTTCTCTTTACCTTCAATAATATTTTTTGCTCTGACCAATTCTGCTAGAGTTGAACATTCATGTTAAAAATTACAGACAAATAAAGGCATAGTTCCTTATAATGTTTAAAGATGGGGAAAACAATCACACTGAATGCTCTTATGCATGCTTATATACACATAACATAATTCTGTTGGCCAACATACAGCTACTTAACTTACCCTTAATACCAAAGCAGTTGAAAGTGATGAATAACCCCCTCTGCTACTTAACTGACTAGATAAATATCCCAGAGCTTTATCCTAGTTGGCGTTATACTCTAATTATAAAATTCTCCTTCATTTTTTGGAGCAGTGTATTATATATTGTAAGACAGATAACTCACAGGCCCGAGAAATAATGACAATGCCACAAAGACGGAAACAGCAGTCGACCGAATCAGCCTGGTTCTCAGAAAGCGCAGGGCCACACGAACTAGCGAGGCCTTCTCCGGGCCTCTCTTTGCCACTTCTTCCTTCCAGAGTCTCTGAAACCTGTCAGACACTCACACTCAGTGGTCTCATTTAAACAACAAATCAAGTCTTTTTCCATGATTAAAACATCCTACATTTGATGTGGACAGTATAGTCTAATTTTTGATGAATCTTTGGCTCAAATACAAATTTCATAAACTAGGTCTATTATGCATTAGTATTACAGTATATGATAAATGAGTGTAAAGAAATGGGAATCAGAGACCTTTGCGTACCAACGTCAGCAACATCTGAAGGAGATAGTGTGAGGGTCGATATAGTAACTACAGCACAAGTCTTTTAGTGAAAGTAGGCTTTTTTGAATATGTTTAACTCAACTTGCAAGTCTACGCCAGTCATAAGAATCAAGTTTGACATACTGGGTGCATCTTTTTATTGTGTGGCTTCACTTATCCCAATAAGAACACGAGACGCTGGTTATTATAGGTGTTACATCCCCCAGGAGGATGTCTCTTCTCCCTACTAACCCTTTGTTTTGTCTAGGCTCCACCTCCTCTGTCCTGATTGGATGCTGCGCAGAGTCTGGCTAATTGGTAATCAGCAAAGCACTACTTAATGCCTGTGGAGCTGTGCTTCTGTGCCCTCTGGCCATTTTGGTTGCCATACTCGTGCAGGCTTGCATGCCTTTGTAACTTGTATGAACATTGTTGTTTTTCATGTTCAGACTGCTTGTAGGGGAGAGCTGCCTTTTGTTTTGACACTCTGTTTTCTCCTGTTTATGTGTTGTTAGGTAGGTTATGGTTATAGGTTGTATATTTTGTTTCTTTGGAGTTAGGTAAGTTTCTTTTATTTCTACATCAGGGATGTTTTGTTTGTTATGTTGGCCATGGCTCTCCCTGACGTTATACCTCAGTCTGAACCCAAATCTCATCACCAGCATTAAATAGACCTTCTACACTTACCATCTTGGCTCCTCCTTCTCTATCCACCTTTATGTTCGTCCCTTCAACCCCCTAGACTAGCCAGGGGACGTAACAACAGGTTTTTTCCAATCGAGGATGACTGTCAAACGGGGACAGATCCAGAGCTGCATATTTACTGGGAATAACAAGTAAATATGACTTTGGGGTAAATGCCTAATCAGTGACACTGTTATTTCACTTAGGCACGGGAGGAAGTCTCTTGTGCTCTTTTATGATTTTTTTTAATGGTCTAGAGCAGGGGTGCCCAATCCCGGTCCTCGAGAGCTACCGTCCTGCAGCTTTTAGATGCATCCCTACTCCAACACAGCTGATTCAAATGGTTTGATTACCTCTTCAGCATGCCATCGTGTTTGGCAAAGGCCTGATAACAAGCCATTCATTTGATTCAGCTGTGTTGGAGTAGGGATGCATCTAAAAGCTGCAGGACGGTAGCTCTCGAGGACCGGGATTGGGCACCCCTGGTCTAGAGCAAATTAAACTACTTTAAAAATAGTATTTTACTTAGACCTAAATAAAGGAAAAAGTTCTCTCTTCTGATTCGGAATTTTCTCTACTAATCACGCAAATCGTCAGTTTTAGACAGTTTGTTAAAAAGAGATACCTTCTTACCATCTCCACACAGCGGTCCTCGGATTATCTGCTAACGCCATCTTTCCTGAGAAATGATTGGTCAGTAGGTGGCGTTTTCAAAGTTTGGGGTATTTATCAGGAACTTGACCTGCTCCCTGAAAAAACAAAAACTCTAGAGAAAATACGCCTATAGAGCCCAGGAGGTGATTAGGAAGAATGAGAAAAGGAAAACTGCTTGACACTAGATGGATGTAGGTAGGTATCACGGGAAGAACATGTTCAAGCTGTCAGGTTAATATTTTCCTTACTTACCACAGGTAGCCAAATTTCACTGCGCAAATATTTCGACATCTGGTTTGCCTGAGACCTTATCAGAGAGGTTGGTCTGTCCTGTGACCCTTATGCCTCAGGACTGGACATCACAGGTGGGTTCAGATGAGGATTTCCTCAAACCAGCCTCCAGTTTTAGAAGCACAGTCAGTGCAGGGGGTGCATGTTTGGAGTTGTGTGTGTCCTAAATATTACGGTAAGAGAACTTAAGGCCCAATTTCAAAATAAAGGTGAAAGTGAAATTCTGGAATAGTCAGTTTATTCGCATTCTCAATTTATACAAAAGCTAGTAAACGACATTTCAAATGGCTATTATTTAAAAAAATCCAAACTAACGCGATATTGAGAACTAATTCTGTGAGCCAGGTCTGGACTAGCTATCTGGCGTACGCCTGTGGGCCTGCCCAGGGCTATCATAATTTACCCCAAAAAGTATATTATAATTTCTTTTGCGACCGCGACGTACCATTGGTTGATTTTCTTGAAAGACATTGGGCTTATCGAACGAAATCTCTCAGCCCTCCTCGGTCTGTCCCTCCCTCCCCTTTTTAACCTAGGTTATCCATTTGGAACGATCTGATTTCCTCGTGTCAGCATTGTTCCCACATCATCATAATTAATGTTGTTCCAGGTTCAACATTGCAAGTGACCAATCACCTTCTTGTGACGTCATTCCTTTGCGACTTCGAAATACCCGCCTTCGATTATTTCGAAATACAAGTGAAGAAGCGAAAAACCGCCGCCTGTCCGCCGAATTTGAAGTCAATTCGCCTGTCCGCCGAATTTGAAGTCAATTTAGGATACTTTCCTTTAATAAAGCATTATACATATGTTCCTCTAGTGATGGGCAGATGAAGCCCCATGAAGCACTGAAGCTTTTCATCCAATTGGTTCACCCCAACGCGAAGCTTCATGAAGCTTCATTTGCTCTAGCAGGACGTAAAAATAATAGCTGGCATGAATTTGAAGAGTGTGGCATTTTGCACACAGCCTGTAAATGTCAACAACAAAAGGAGTGTGTAAAACATGTATATTGTGATGGCAGTATACTGTGTATATTTATAGTGGCAGTATGGGAAATGATTATTTGGAAATGCTTGAAATGGAAATGATCATTTACTGTGAGGTGAGGTGTGGTTGGGGTGTGGACAGTGGTTGTGCTTTTGTAACGTTGAGGTATGGACAGCTACACACTGCCTGTTCACATTTTATTCTGTAAAAACTAAATTTTCACTGCTTTTATGACCTTTTTAGTGGGGAGAACATAGCTAGGATTTAATGATTTAACAAATCTTTTGAATCCTTTGTCCTCCACAATGCTAAATGGCTGGGAGTCCTCAATCACCATGCTGACCAGGTCTTCATCTATTTGAGATTGTTCTCCTGAGGAAAGACAATAAAGATAAAGCACAAATATAAATATCACATACGTAACTTATAACAGTTGTATAATATTGTTATATCATTTAGTAACATTACTGCATCCTATATTATCATTGCATTTGATGGCTCACCTGGTCTTGCTCCACAATCGGTGTCCCCCTTATTCTCATGCAAAGCTCTGTAGTGCCTAAGCATGGGTAAGGTGTTGTTGTTGTTATATCCCAGCTCCCTGGCACATAGAAAACACTTCACCTTGTACAAAAGTCAAGACAGCTCAACATAAATTGTATTGCACCATCAGTATCATGAAAATACATCTTCTGTAGAAATTTACATACCTTGTTGGGAGGAATAAGATCAAAATGTTCCCACACAGGGGAGGACATCCTCCTCTTCTTAGCTGGCTCCATTCTCTCCTGACTTTCCTCACTCTCATAAACCTCCAAACGGTCTCCAAACTCTCACTAACCGCAACTCTCCATCAAACACCCACATTTTTGAATGAAGTCTGAGGGGTTTATATCGCTGTCATATCTCGCGGCAAAGTTCGAACCACTTCATGAACCAGTCACGTGGTACAGCCGGGCAGCGAGGCTTCGGACGTCATCATTTTCAGCTCCTCCCATAAATGAAGCAAGCCTCGATACGCGCTTCGCGGAAACGCCCCTCCATTACTCGACACACGCTCCGAAGCCTCGATACAGAACGTCCCATCACTATGTTCCTCACTTGGCTTGCTGTTTGTTTGCTAGCGATAGGCTACTTGACGACAGCATTAGCTAACCAGTGTTCTCTAGACCAGCGTTCCACAACTTTTTGGGTGTTTCGTGGCCCGGGGGTTGGGTCAGGCAAAATTGCAGTAGCTTCCCTGATCATTTTACAAACATAAGTGAAGAGAATCTGGACTAAAAGGCCTAGACTTATGGTTGTGTGCTGAATCTATGAATCAAACTATCACCTGGAAACATAATTAACTGGTCCATAGCTGTGAAACTGGACATGAGTTCTTGATTCTATGGAGATTAACAGTAATCCAGAAATTTACAAATTTGTCCTGGTACATCGCGTAAATGTTGTCCCTGGGACATTGTGTAAATGTTGTCCCTGGGACATTGTGTAAATGTTGTCCCTGGGACATCATGTAGAATTTGCCCTGGGACATCGTGTAGATGTTGTCCCTGGGACATTGTGTAAATGTTGTCCCTGGGACATTGTGTAAATGTTGTCCCTGGGACATCGTGTAAATGTTGTCCCTGGGACATCGTGTGATAGCTTGTAAATAATGGAATGAAAATTATTGATTGTTATTAACTTGTGAAAAAGAAGTGTAACAAATCCACATGTTATGTTCTTACACCCTTACAGAAACTGTGACTCCTTCACAATGTCAGGTAAATGTCAACTCATGTTGAATAATCAACCAATCAAGCCTTTTATTATCACATGCAATGTTACACGTACAACTGCAATGAAAATTTCACCCCCTTCTGACCATACATATATTGCTTAAACATCACATTGGGAAGACAGGTCGGAAACCGTTAGGAAGGTCAGAAAACAATTTAATTAATAGATGAGGAGGAGAAAAAAGAACTACAACCAGACAAAGCTCCTAGAAGACTGAAATGGATGATGGTTGCAGCATGCAAAAAGAAAATGATATCTGTTGACTACAGCATATGCTTTCTCACAGATTACCTTGTGGGAGTAGCTGGACCAAACTCTATTGGTATTTCAAGTTTGAAATCCCTGTTTGACCAGACTAACATTTCAGATGAGGTACCTCTTGACATAAAAATCCTTTTATGTTGTCATAAAACTAATGTTAAATTCTGCTTTAAATACACTTTATTGTACAATTTACTTAATGAATCGTATTCCTTAGTTCTGTTTTTATTTATATGTATTTATTTATTTGTTTTATAAGGTAATAGATGGCCTAATCTATTTGCAGTGTGAGGTATGTTGAAAAGCTTGTTTGATCATAATGACATAGCATGTTTACGTTTTTTGTAATGTATTTGAAAACATAGGTGTATTTATGTTATTTTTATAGAATTTCCCTCACATTTATCCAATACCAAGCCAAATCACTGGAAAAATTTTGGATGGGTCCACAAGAGCACAAAGTGCATACTTTTTGAAGGTATGACTTGGACTGTGGTAACTATGTTCTTATCACAAAGGGTTTATAAGTTGCCACTATAAACAAACAGCATTTTCCAAAATTGAAGCCTTGTCAGAAGAACCTGAAAAATACCTTTCTGAAACCTTTTCTGTGTAAAGACTTGTTCAAAAGCAATGCACACAGATTAAAACATTTCTGTCTTGGCCAACTGATAAAGAACACCAAAAATTGAGTGGTGCGTGTTGAGTCTGTGGTCTTGATTTGTTTTGTACACACTATAGAAATTAATTAAAGTAAACCAAAAATGACACTTTCTATATGTTTGTGTATCTGCAGAATTAATTACAAGTCTCACCTGACAAGCTTTTGCAGTTTTGCAGTGTCATTCTTGACAGAAAAACATACTTGTCACATTATTTTTATTTCCAGAAAAACATCTTTCAGATGTATGAGAAATTGATTGGAGCCTGTCTGGAAAACGGCAGCCACTGGACCTTGTTTGTAAGTTGCACAGATTTTGCACTCTCTCTAGTGCATGATACTTTTCAGTGTCCCTCATTAGGAATTCTCAAGGCCCAAGCCTACCATATCCATCTTTTTACAAAACAGTTTTGTGACATACCCAAGAGGACCATAGTCTATATGAATTCATTTGGCGAGTCGGAGGTCAGAAAAAGTGCGGTGTTGAAAAACTGGAGGTAATTAATTAACATATTTAACATAACATATTTAATTTAATTGAAATCATTACCGAACGTGGTTATTGATTTCTCTATATGCTTTTTATTTGTAATAACTGCGATCTCTCAGCTCATTTGCTTCAGCAAGAGGCTGCGCTGGAGAGTGGACCTTGTCACATGTGAGCCACCCACATCAACAGGATGGGAACTCATGTGGAGTGCATGTCATAATGGTACTGAAAACTATAGCTTTAACCTATATAAGTAATGTTTACATTTTTGCCTATTCAGTTTTTAAAGCCTTAGAGGCAGGATGGTAAAATCTCAATTTTTTTTGTAGATTGAACCATTTCAGCAGTAATGCTTTGCTTTGGTTGCTCTGTTTTTTTTTTTTTTCTCGGGGGGGGGTTAAAACAAACATTTCTTTGTTAATCTAATTCTTTTTGTTCTTTTTTTTTTTTTTTCTTCTTCATCAATTATTAGTTTGCCCAATCTCTCATTGACGGTAAAACACAAGTGGAGGAGTACAACACTGAAATCACAAAGCTCAGATCCCGACTTTGCCACTACTTATTTTCCTCAATAGGTAAAGATAAAATTAGCTGCCTTCTTTTTCTCTAACATTGGAAAATGTAACTTGTACTTAAACAAATTATATTTTGCAGATCGAACTAGGAAGTGCAGTCAGTGCTGGTGTGTGATTGCAGCCAAAGACCGGGTACACTATGACATGTCCTTAGCCATATAGATTGTTTATTTAATGGACTTTGTTCATTTGTTTTTTGTTTGTTTATTTCTTCTTCTTTTTTTTCTTTTTTTTAATTCACAGGTGCAGTGCCAGAAATGTGGTGCATACAAGCACATGCGTTGTTCAAAGTCTGTTTGTGGCATCTGTATCTTCTGTGAGAGTAAGTCACAATATAACTAAACAATGTCCAAAAATGTTTAAAGTGAAATTTTTTTTCGTAATTTTGCCTTTGCACACCAGGACTGTGTAATTAAAGTGGACGTTTCAAGATCCAGTTTTTACACAAAACTATTTTAGACATAACTGTGTCGTATTGTGGGGATTTCTCTTCACAATTAAATTGATATAGTGCTGTTTATATCATTCTTCTTTATGTAACAGCACAGTGCAGCACAGCAGAGGGAAAGGAGTTGTGCAGCATAGTAGGTGGCTATACAGGAGGAGCAATAGAAGTAGCCAGTGAAGAATGTCATCAGGGAAAGCATCAGGCAGCGAATGACAAAGGAAAAGTTCCTAAGGGAGAGAACATCTGCAGCAAATCGACAAGTAACAGTGAGATAGGAAGACTGACAGTCAGAGATGAAGGTACACAGACTGAAAGAGATGAAGGTACACAGACTGAAAGAGATGAAGGTACACAGACTGAAGACAACGAAAAAGAAGCAGAAGTATACGGCACAAGTCTGAGTACAGATAATGCTGCTGCTGATGATGTTGACAGGATCGATGCAGATACAGAATTCCAAACTGATTCAGAAGGAACTAGTACAGTTTACAGAGTGCATGGTCGCTTATCTGTACCAAGCTCAAAAAAGAAAACCTACACAATAACAGAAGACGAGATCAAGCGCAGAATCAACGCAGAGAACATGTCAGTTCATGTTTTCAGAGGTTTGATTGGGGTAGGTATACATTTCGTGATTTTGATGTCACCTGAAATAAATCCGGGTTACTCGTATCAATGAAGTGACAATGTGGCTGGAAATTGTGCATTTGCTGCAACATATACACAATTACACCATGTAAACAAAAGCATTTAACTTTGTGCGCGTGTGTGTGTCTCTCTCTGCTCTTTTGGTGTTTGCACTTTTTCTTTTTTAGGGCCGTAAAGCCAAACTGCCCGCAATGATTCTTGACAGGCCTAAGAAGGCCAAAACTAAAGTAACAGTGTTTAGTGTTCTGAGTGAAGAGGAGGCTGGGGAGCTAGCCCTCGGGTTTGCCGGAAGATTGGCCTGCGATGTCACAACAGACATGGTCTGTAAAGGCATCGACCATTCAAGTGCTGATATGACAAAGTAAGTTAGTAAAACAATATGAAAGTTGTATCTTTTTTGGTATTATTTGTCATTTCCCCGTATTTGGGTTATTGGTGTAACATTGTTAATCTTACTTTCTAATAACAGACAGACTCTTCTCAAAATCCAACACAATCTTAAACATGAGCTGACTGATTCCTCAACCTTCAGTTTGCTGACACACACCTTTGGCCCCGCTGCACTGGATTCTGTCATTTCATTCCTGTGTGAAAAACTTGATCTTGTCTCTTAAATAATGAAACCTTTTGTGACTTTTGTTTGTTCTGTAAATCAGAATCTTGAAAATTGTTCATTGCTGTTCTAAGTTTGTGTTAACTATTTGGCAAAAATGATTGGTTCCTAATCCAAACAGCATAATGACTGTTCTAACACATATCTTAAAAATGCTACAAAGAAAGAAAATTATCACATATGTTTCAATATGAATGTAATTGTGTCACACTCGGTTTGTAGTAGCTTTCCTGTTTTATTTTGAGTTTTGGTATGTTTACACTGTTATTTTTATTTCCCGTGTGTTTGTCTTCCCTTATTAGTTTTACTGTATTTAATTAGTCTGATTTAATAACTTATAATTATTTACTTTCCAGTGTGTATATATGCTCCTCGTTTGGATTATTGTTTGTTTGAGTTCTGCCTGTCTTTTCTATTAAAGATTTGGACTTTTGGACTATTAGTGGACCTCGTAGGTTTTTATTCTGTTCAATTGGTAATTGACTGGGTTTAATTTAGTGGCCTGGAAAACAGGCCGGAGGGGTCTGGTCATTTTAACCCCCTAAGACCCGAAATCTTCCATGGCATGCATTTTTAATTTCTCTTTGATATTTGGGCCGATTGGAACCCGATGAATGTAAAAAAGAATTACCAGGTTTTGTTTTTTTTACCTAATTTTTGTTTCTGAGAAAAATGAGAGCCACATATGAGGACATTAATTTGAAATTTTGATGGAACAGTTGCAGTATAATGTCCTCATAACTGTATATCAGGCACTTGTTGATCAAGATTTAGTATTTTGGTCTAAATAACCCAAAATGTGATGTCCACATGTGTGGACGCCAGGCTGGAGTAAAGTGTTAGAGCTATTTATACCTATGTAAACTTTTATACACTGGTTTTTACCTGTCTTGTTTCAGAAAGGTTTAAAAGGGTAATGTCCACAGTTTATTTGTTTATTTATTTGTTTGAATTCAACATATTTTATTAAAGTAATTGAGCTTGAACACAGAAAAACTGAATCAAATAATCATAAAATCAAATCACTTGCACTATACTGAAGTCTAATCTACTCTGAGCTAATGCCGGTTTCCAACACTAATGATCGGGTGAAGGAGAGAGATGAGGGTGTGCACGGCCACTGGTGCTCTTATCCCTGTTCTTTGTGATACAATCCAACAGGAAAGCAGTCAAACCCTTGGACATTAGCCAAGTTAACGTTCACAAATATATACACACAGAGGAACTCTGAGCCCCAATGTCAGCATTAGCACAAACATGCCACTTCATCTCAGTGTGAGGTCAGGTGTTAGTCTCATTCCATTATTCTGGCTATATTTTCTTACTCATTACTATTAAACTTATACTTAAGACTAACTATTAACAAAATCACACCCCAATAACTCTGTTATTACACTTTGTATTTAATCATAAAAAGGCTGGATGTTGAAACCTTTTACTTCTATTTTGTATGAGCCAGGATTCTCAACAGCTGATACTCTATGTCCAAAAAGTGACAGGTATCGTTTTATGGAGCAAAAAACTTAAGAGCGCATATTTTATAAATAATACCAACAATTACAAATGCAGACCTTTAATAGTAATAAGTAATCCTTTATTTATAATGCATAGCAATATAAAAATAGTAACATATGAAAATATTACAATGGGCACAGATGAATTTGTATCAAAAACAGCAACCAAGCCAAAGTAATGAATAACACACATAAATAACAACTGCTTGAGAGACCAAACAATTTCTTTTCATCTGTTCCTTGGCAGAAAGTTAAGACAGCTATTCAGCTTTAGGTTTCAATAAACAGAAGTAATGGATGCAGTCCCTTTGAAATGTCACACAAAAGTCTACTTGTGCATATACTTAGCTTTAACTCTTCTCTTTTTTGTTTTGTATTCCAAAAGGTTTTCATTTTCTCCAGAGGATGTCTCTCTTTCAGTGGTTATCGACTGTTCACATTCATTTTCAGACTGTTGGAATGTCGATGCTGGCCGAACATTTCTTGCTAGAATACAATGGCCTAATTTTGCGTGCATTATCTGTCATCTTTATTTCGTACTGGCATATACTTTTGCCTGCTTGTTTTGTTTTTAAGACATTTGTATGCAGTTCATCTATCATTGCAGTAATACCCTCTGGAATGAATGCCCACTGTTTAACTGTGTCTAAAACAGCATTTAGTTTTCCAACTGCATCTTCTGTGCATTTTTTGTCTGTGCTTTCAACTACAGGAGTGTCATTCAAAGTTGATAGAGGACTTTTCAGAGAGTTTTTCATTTGTTTAAAATGGCTACAAGCCACCTTCAGGCAAGCACATGTGTTATAGCGAGAGAACGTACAACAAGTGCACTGAAGTGTTTCAGCCGATGCAAAAAAACACAGATTTCCAAACAAACTTGGCATTTTTATCACTTTCAAGTCCTCACAGTGTACAAAGTAATGCCTTTCTTTCACTGCAATTCTTGCCAAGATCTGTTTCCATGTTTGGATAGATGTCATTGTCAGCCTCTGCTAATTTTGCAAGTAACACTAGATGCTTGCAAAGAAGTCCTCGTAAGCCATATGTACAGTTGCAGTAGGACTCAACAGGGCAGACATCATACACCATGTCTTCTCTTGACTCAGATGGGACTTGATATGCATTAACTCCATGGCTGTTCTTGACTGTAATTTTAAGAGCCCAACCACTTTCCATCAGTCTTGAAGCAGAGTCTGAAACTTGAGACAAGGTGTCAGCAAACCTGTTTTTCATGCGGCCCACATCTTGCAGGGTTTTTATGACTGAGAAGTAGTCGTCGGCCTTCCCTAGGAGCACTTCAATCAGATCATCCAGACGCCTATTCTTGTAGCCAGATAAAACTGGTATTTCAGGCGGTGGAAAAATCTGAAAAACAGTTATTTGAAATGATTAGTAACTGTAATTGAAGGAATTTAAAGTTTTAATCAAGACTGTATTATTTTTTAAAAATTGGAATACCTATTGCACACGTCTTTTATAAAGGAATGCTCTGTGCCGGTTTAGCTGATTTAGGCAAATCCACCTACTCTGTTTTTTGTTGTGATAACATTAAAAACGCTGCTAGAATTTAAAGGATTTGCCTAAAACCTGTTCTGGCAATGACATGAAGAACCTACTCAGTTTAGCCTCTTGGATTAAAGCATAATATCTTTTTTTCAGCAATACAATTGAATGAGGTCAAAATAATAAATCATACCTTTCAATCACATTGTTTGTTTCAGAACGAGCGTGACTGAAGCGACGGCCGTAGTCACACCACATGTGGCCAATGCCTTCCCAGTGCTTCTGAAAATACTGGCACACCAAAGGGTATTGCTTAAATGTCTGGCAGAACTCTGCTGATGTGGCTTTAAAGTCGTCCTCCTAAGAGAATTGGATGCAACAGAATATATTTCAATCCATTTAACAGACCTATTGAAATCTTTAATATTATGTATTGAAGCCCTTTTCCTTTTATTGAATAACATTAAGAATTTTAAGTTATTAATAATATGTCGTGTTTTTGTATTAAGAAGCAATTATTTCTTCCCTTACAATGGCTAAGAAGGAACACTAAACCTATAAGCATATTTGGTTTCAGCATCTGTCTGTGAAAGAATCCCACTCACAAGTTCTACTGCACAGTGGGTGACACAATGATGTTCTGCACAGCTTAAGTACTTGTTTTGATAAGCAAGATAAGAAGCCAGTTTTAGAAATTGTTTCAAAAATCTATTTTGTATCTCTCTGTAACTTTTTTTAGCAACTGAAAGTTATTATGCTCTTAGTGTAATCAAGAAATCAAAATGTGAAATAGACAAATTACACTTACAGATGTGCAAGCTTTCAGCTTACAAAAGAAAGAAATGATTTCATTTCTCTTTTGGGTGTTAGAAAGCCCATGGACCCCGGACTCTGATTTTGAAAGCCATCGATTAACAGCCTGTGAATGTAAGAGAAAAAAAGTTAATCTGGAGAGAGAGACAGAGGAGCAGCTGTACAAAAAGCATAAAAGAAAGCTGACGTCCAAAAATAACTTTGTCACTCACTGGACAAGAGGACCTGTGCATTACAGAAATCAACCAGGCAAACATATTTTTAAATGTCAAAAAGAGCTTTGGGAAGCAGCCACCAGAAGATGAGTGCACTGTGGTCTTAAATGGATGGACATAGTCACTCAACATTTTATCCCTTTATATTCATTAACCTGAGTAGGTGAATATCACAATGAGGCAAATCATAACAACAGGACCCTGTTGTAAAAATGTGTTTCAGGTGCATCTTAGACAACGTGAAAAGAAACAATGTGGTTTACCTGCAAGACATGGTACCAGCATAGAAGGATAGCTGACTCTGGAAAAACCTTCTGCAAAGCATTTATTTCCGCAAAGTCTTTGTCAACCATAAATGCTCTACAGAAAAAAGAAAACACTAAATGAGATTAAACAGTATGAAAATGTTTTTGCTATCTCAAAGCACCACTTCAATGCCAAATTAAACATTTCAACTCACAAGTAGATATATAAAATACTGCATACAGCCTATAGGAATAACTTTAACAACTGGAAAGGAAAGTTTTTTGCAGCCCATGCTGCAGCTATAGCATTAGATTCTGGCATGTTATAACTTTTTTGAAAAGGAATTATTTCAAAATTAATAGCTGTCAATGTATTATTTACCTCGGGGAAGTTGGGAAATGCTCACAAACTATTCCAAGAACAGTTTCCAGGGTTTTCTGACTTTCGTTGCTGACAATAGCATAGGCCACAGGGACTCCATGCCCATGATCATCTCTTACAACAAGTGTGAATAAGGGAAATGAATACTGGTTAACGCAGTGCGTGGTGTCAACAAATACTAACTGTTTTGCATAGTCCTCCATGTTTGATTTCATTACAGGTGTCTGCAAAACAATCATTAGTTCTTGGTCAGATGTGTATGGTTGATAGAAGAGAACATGTTCTTGATGTTTTCCATTAAGTAAGGTATGTACACATTGACTGTCTCCACAGTTAAAGTGCTTCTTCCTCATCATGCAGGTTCTAACACTGTCAATGTCACGTGGTGTGACAAAATGCTCTCTGTTGTGAAGATCTCTGTGTCCATGTTCTTTGGCCCATTTATGACATTCGGTTAGTATGATGGCTGGCTTAGTTCCAAGGGAAAGCAGTTCCTCAATCTTCCTCCTCAAATCACTGGAAATATTGTTGAAATGTGCGTCTTTTGGGTCCGAAGGATCATGCCCATCATGCTTATCATATGTACGCTGCACGATGACTGTGTGGTCTTTCCAACATTTGAGTACTTTAAATGAAACATAGGCCTTACAGCCCACTGCTCTGTAGCTGTTTCGACTTTTTTCCCCAGCTCTGATGCAGTTGAATTTGTAATAGTCTCTTTTCCTGTCTTTACCTGAGGCAACATTTAAACATTTATAATGTCCATGAAGGGTTAATGAGTTCAATTTTTCTAACACAACACTGAATGGGTCCTCCTGGCATTGTGACACATGCACACAAAGTTGTGTGTCTTTTCCAGTTCTTTTTTTTTTCGTCATTCAGAACACTTCTTCTAATTATGTCGTCCATTTCTGGTGGAAAAATAACGAAGGTTTAATTAGTCAATATTCATTAATTCATTTTAACTTGTTTTGGGGTTTTTTGCAATACAATGTAAATATTAAATATAATATTTAAAAAAAATATATATAAAATAATATAAAACAAACAGGGGCTAAAAGAAGCTAAACTTTCATATGGTATGTCTCTGGCAACTTTAACACGATGTCCCAGGGACAACATCTACACGATGTCCCAGGGCAACTTCTACATGATGTCCCAGGGACAACATTTACGCGATGTCCCAGGGACAACATTTACGCGATGTCCCAGGGACAACATCTACGCGATGTCCCTGGGACAAATTTGTAAATTTCTGGATTACTGTTAATCTCCATAGAATCAAGAACTCATGTCCAGTTTCACAGCTATGGACCAGTTAATTATGTTTCCAGGTGATAGTTTGATTAACTGTATTATTTTATTGTTTTTTTTGTAAAGCACTTTGGTATGCCTAGGCTTTTAATGTGCTCTATAAATAAAGGTTGTTGTTGTTGTTGTTGTTGTTGTTGATTCATAGATTCAGCACACAACCATAAGTCTAGGCCTTTTAGTCCAGATTCTCTTCACTTATGTTTGTAAAATGATCAGGGAAGCTACTGCAATTTTGCCTGACCCAACCCCCGGGCCACGAAACACCCAAAAAGTTGGGGAACGCTGGTCTAGAGAACACTGGTTAGCTAATGCTGTCGTCAAGTAGCCTATCACTAGCAAACAAACAGCAAGCCAAGTGAGGAACATATGTATAATGCTTACCGTTTATTAAAGGAAAGTATCCTAAATTGACTTCAAATTCGGCGGACAGGCGGCGGTTTTTCGCTTCTTCACTTGTATTTCGAAATACTCGAAGGCGGGTATTTCGAAGTCGCAAAGGAATGACGTCACAAGAAGGTGATTGGTCACTTGCAATGTTGAACCTGGAACAACATTAATTATGATGATGTGGGAACAATGCTGACACGAGGAAATCAGATCGTCCATCAATTTGAGCTGGCCGGAGTTGGAGAGGAGTGGCATTTGGACAAATGGACAAATTAAAAAAAAAAACAACAACAAAAAAATAAAACGCAATGGGGGTGCAGAAAATTCCGAGAAAAAAAGGGGGGAAAGCCTTCGAGTGAACGCAGCAAAATGTGCAAAACTTACTGATATGTTTGTCACCACAAGTTCTGCTGCCGCAGCTCGTGCGGGCCGGGGGAGGAGGGATATACGTCGGATGTGGAAGAGGCCAGGTTAGCCGAAATGTTAAAGAAGAGGGACGTTTCATGTAGGGAGTGCAAAGGGATGGTGTGTGTGTGTGTGTGTGTGTGTGTGTGTGTGTGTGTGTGTGTGTGTGTGTGTGTGTGTGTGTGTGTGTGAGCCCTTCTGAGAACAGGGGGGTTGCCTACACGTAAGCTTGCAACAGTCGGAGTTAACAACGAAAATGTTTTGGAATGTGTGAAATAATAATAATAGTGAATTAAAACATAAAACGTAAAAAGGAAACACGTTAGAAGAACTAGAATTTATACAATTTTAGAATGATAAAAACTGATTAGAGACACGTCTTCACTGAATAGTAGCTTGGCCAAAAGTATGCAAATGCTCAACATAGAAAAGTATTACAAGACTTGTTTTATTCAGTCAGACTTAAAACATTCATATATTATTCGTCTAGAGAGTTATGTGTGTGTATGAGAGAGAGAATTGCTTTTACAGCCTTCATTTTTAAATAACGCTATGAGTAGATTTGGTGTCCAACTTACTGATATTTTAGCTTGCCATAAAATTACAGTTTGCAGGTGTTACAGCTTACAGTGAATATTGTCATGTAATATTAGTAAAATTTTGTTCTGGTGAAATGGATGATTTATCATTGGTAGGTTAACCAGAGAATTGTGACACTGTGGCCATCTGTCCAAACATGAATCCCTGAGTAGTGAAAGAGCATATCAATTTTTTAGCATGGTTACTCTCTTCCTTGTAGGCTGCTGCACTTTATTTTAATTTTTGAAATCACACAATGTGCACATATATCCTCTGGTATGTGATGTGCTTTCGCATATGGTATAAATAATCGTAGTGGGCCGCCATTGATGTTTTTAAGGAACCCCTTTTATTGCATGTAATGCACAGACACGCCAACAGAGGGCAGTAATATCCCTTCAACATACATTGTAAAATTACTATTACAACAATCCCACTTAATTTTACCATGGAGTTCACTTACTTGACTGCCATTGCTTATTTCTTTAAAAAAAAAAAAATGCACCTATATCACAGTGTTACTAGAAAATAAACATTTTCTCTTTTGTTTTGAACTCACACAAAAAAGTACTGTGTTAATCTTAGACAAAACTATTATTCTTCATTACAGTTAAATGCTCGCCATCTTAACATAAGCATAGTATAGGCATGTTAAGTATATGATAACCCTTTTAAACTGAACACAGTCCAATCTTCCCTCTGAGATACTCAAACTTTTGTCTAGGCAGTGGTTTGGTTACCAAACTCCTTCTTGTGCAGCTTGGCTCAAAGCAATATACTCAGCCTCTGCAGTTGAAAGTGCAACTGTTGCTTGTTTCTTGCTAAGCCAACTAACTGCACCTCCTGCAAGTAGAAAGATGTTTCCAGTTGTAGAACGTCGATCATCCTGATCACCTGCCCAATCAGCATCTGAATACCCAACCAAGGTTCCTGTTTCTGTTCTTTGATATTTGAGTCCCAGGTTTAGAGTTCCTTTCAAATATCTCAGGATTCTTTTCACAGCTGTAAGGTGTGTAGTGTTTGGGTTTGCATTGAATCTTGACAACACACTCACTGCTTGCGCTATATCTGGTCGTGTGGCTATGGCAGAATACAATAAACTTCCAACCATTGACTGATACATGCTTGGGTTTGCAGGTTTACTGACATCATCACTCTTTCTTAATTTGACATTTGTGTCAGCTGGAGTTGCTACTGGATTGGCACTGTCCACTCCATACTTTTGTAGTATGTTTTCAATATACTGTCTCTGATGAAGCACAACATGGTTTTTGGCCTTGTCTTGGACCACTGAGATGCCCAGAATGTAGGATAGCTCACCCATGTCCTTCATTTAGTAGTGTTTCTTATGAGTGTCCTTTAAGTTCTTCATGCTCTCTGCTGATTCTGTAATCAAAATCAGATCATCAATAGCCAATATTTCCAACTCCTGACCTGTTCTAACAAACACACACTGATCTGAAGTACTCTGTGTAAAACCAATGCTTTTCATGAACTCTGTAAAAGCTTTGCTCCAGCAACGTGGAGACTGCTTCAGTCCATATATTGACTTGTTTAGTTTGCACACTTGATGTTCCTGCCCAGGTTTGATGTAACCCTCTGGCTTCTCCATGTAGATTTCCTCTTCCAGGTGTCCATTCAAGAATGCAGTCACGACATCCATTTGATGCGCATTTAGATTGTTTTGCACAGCAAATGATAACAATGTACGAATTGAACCAAATCGTACAACCGGAGAGAATGTTTCATCGTAGTCTGCACCATAAATCTGTGAATAGCCTTTGGCAACAAGTCTGCACTTGTATCTTTCCACTTGTCCATCACTGTGATGCTTAACTTTAAAGACCCATTTTGATCCAACTGCTTTGCGATCCTTTGGTAGCTCCACTAAATCCCATGTGCCATTTTCCAGCAGTGACTCATATTCCAAATCAGCTGCTTCTTTCCACTCCTTTGCATTTGGACTTGACATAGCCTCTTCCAGTGAATTTGGTTCTGTGACACAACAGATGTTCGCATAATGATTGTTGGAGCCAAGTCCAGGCCAATATTTTACTCAGTTACATCATGCCATAGTTAAGTATTTGTCATGATCTTTAAGTTTCTATTATAATCTTGATCATTTTATGTTATAATGTAATAGGCTGTGCTCCATAAATTAATCCTGCTTTGTTAGTCTGTTGTTGTTGTAAAGTGTTGATAGATGTCGTAAAGGGGGTGTATATTTGGCCCGCATGCGGAGGGGTGTGGGTAAAAGGTTAGGTAAGCAAGCAAGACATGGAGCAACAGTTTTCTGACCATCGCCGTTTTAATGTTATTTTTTGTTGTAACATAAAGGGAATGTAAACGGAGCTCCCACCAGAGGCATTTGTTTTGTACCTTTCGATTTGTATGGAGAATAAATGTTTTGCCCCTTTTTTCCTTCGCCTCGTTTTTGCTACCGGAAGGCATCCAAGCGACTTAACAAGAGCACGAGTCAGAAACTTTACGTCCTGCAGAAGCGGCAAAGAAGGACCGAAGGTTGCCGCTACAAGGATCAACTGTAGCTACATCAACAAACTCCTCTAATCCACATCTCTTTGGAGGTCTTCTGATCCGCTGATCTCCTTTTACAGCCTCACTGGTGACAGCCTCCTCAGTACTTGTTTGTCTTTCACCCGTGTGTAGTGTCACCTCATTCCCCAAACAGAGATCATTTTCACTTTGTTTACATTTAAACTCTGTTTCATTGAAGACCACATCTCGTCGAATCAGTATTTTTCCTTTTTCTTCATCCCACAGTCGGTAGCCTTTTGCATTGGTTGCCTATCACAGGAAACGAACTTTCACTGCATTTTTTCCAGCTTCTTTCTCTCTGTGTCTAGAACATGAGCATAAGCAACACAACCAAATACTTTCATATGGCTAATGTCTGATTTTTTCCATACCATCTCTGATAGGGTGTTTCATTCTTTAAAGCACGTGTTGGGAGCCTATTCTGTATGTAAGCTGCAGTAGCAACAGCTTCTGCCCAGAATGTGTTTGGCAACTTTGCATGTGACAGCATACTTCTAGCTGATTCCACTAGAGTTGTTTTTTCTCTCTGCAACACCATTTTGCAGTTTAATTAATCTACACTTGATTAATAACTACGGAAGAGGATTAGGGCCACTGGGGGAAAAAAGTCTTTCTTTTCTTCTTTTCCTGAATTCTGAGAAAAAAGTCAGAATTCTGGCTTTTTTCTCCGATTTTTTTTTCCAGTGGCCCTAATCCTCTTCCGTAAATAACAAACAATAAAGTCAGTGCTAAACAATTTAAGAACTATTTTCTTCAAACTATTTTCATGAATGATATTATGCTATCATGACAGCCACCAACACAGCAGTTACCAGTGAGATTTATGAAGGTTGTACTGAATAATTAATGTCTTCACCTTTTCCGTATCCTGGCATGAAATGGTCTCTTTACTTTAATGTGGAGTCGGAAAGCACAGTATAAATATTTAACCTCTTAACATCAACTGTGTTCTCATCTATCTATTAATATCAAATGTTAATTTGCTTGACAAATCCAAATGGAAACTGTAATGAGCCACTCAGTTAAATGTGTGGCATTTGGAAGTGCTTGCTCACAGGGTGTCATTGGTTCCCTATCTGATATATTATGATTTTTCCCTCATATGTAAAAACATGTTGAGATGACTTAGATAAGTCCACTTTATTGGAAGAAGAGGTATCTTGAATTTTATACCCACTCAACTGAATACCTTGATTTTACAATTTGTAGACTAACTAAACGCTAATATCCTTCAAACATGACACAGTTCCTCCAGCTGTATGAGGCTCCTCCCATGCAAATACATTAATTTTGACATGTAAAACTGATGCAATTCCCCTTTAATCCCACCATATGGCACAGTCAGGAATGTAATATGAAACAACTGGTGGCTGTTTGAGAAGGCACAGAATTTACTGTCCTATCTACCTGCAGATAAATGTTAGTAGTGGTATTATTAGCAAATGATATTTTCTTCTTTTCTTTTCTTCTTTTAGACATCACCAGTCCACACAGAGTCATCAGAAAGAGGGATACCTTGACATAAAAGGTTACCACTGAGCGTGGTTTGTATGTTCACATGGCCGTTTGTTTTGTGAGATTTATCAGAATAGTTGCATGCTTTCCCCAATACATTAAGTTAGAAGACAGAAAAACCTAAAATCTAGATTTTATTTGTTTAATTCTTCAGTGTAAGTTTGATTTAAGGATAATGACACACATATTGGTCTTTATCAGGTAGTTACTTTATAATGACACACTATTATGCATTAATAAGATATTAGGAAGTGCTTAATTCATCATTTATAAAGCATTAGTCGTCCTTAGTCTGTAGCTGTGGCTCAGGAGGTAGAGTAACTCATCTACTTAAAAAAGCGTGCTCGTAAGAATGGGTGAATGAGTCAAGTTTTATAAAGCGCTTTGAGTGCTCAGGTAGAATAGAAGAGCACTACATAAGAACCAGTTCAATCCCCAGATATAAATATTTATTCTCCATTCACAGTCACATGTATAACATCTTCATGGTATCATTTAAAAAGTTTAAGAAAGTGATTAACAAAGTATTTAAATGCGCGCACACACACACACACGCACGCACGCACACACACACACACACACACACACACACACACACACACACACACACAGATAATTAAAATGAGTGATGCAAACATAGTCCACTTGAGGTTTGCAGAATACTAAAACATTGGTAGGATGAGAGTCTAAGTCTGTAAGAGGAGTTTAAGAGAGAATGAGCAGTTGGGTAACTGGGTAATATAACGTTTAAGGTTTGTCATTTAAAATAAAATATGAATAAGGTCATGATAAAACATTAGTGAGGATTACTGGGATGTTTGAAAGTTCTTTAGTTCATTCCTGAGGTTCAGTGTTGCTCTGGTTTGTGTTAGTGAGCTTTTAGTGAGATGAGTCAGCATCCAGTCAGGTTCAATTCCAGAGTGCTCCTGAATTAGAAAGAACGGTGTCTGGTGAACACGGCTGAAATAAAAGAAGTATTGGATGGTCTCCTCCTCCTCATTCAGTCAAATTCAATAAAAACTCAGAATGGCACATCATACATCAATTGATGCATCAATTGATGTATAATCTTGAATGCATATGTGCAGTAGACATAATCAGGTGACCTCAATAAGTCACATGGTGAGCTATGGAGATGACATCAAAAGTTCACATGATGACCTATCGAGGTCACCTCACCCAATAACCTCTGCTGATAATGACCCATGCCTTTTTTCACACCTTGCTCCATGATGAGACATCACATGTATATCTGTATTGATACAGACTAAGGAGGAATAATGCTTTATAAATGAATTAAGCACTTACTAATACTTTACTAATGCCCAATAGCGTGTCATTATTATTAAGTGTTACCACTGATTTTAAATGATTTGTCATTGTGACTAAGCTGTCCAGTTAGAACGAAGAATGGCAATCACCTCTAAACAGGCTAACCTTTGATCTCCATAAAGGTTATGCAAGGCAGAGTAAAATGCTGCTTCACTCACTGTCAGTGTTGACTAGCGGCAGTGTGTCTCCCTTGTTCTCCACACAGAGGTATTGTTCAGATTTTTTTAGATTAATTTAATTCATTCATTCAGACAGGAAAAGTTTCACTGTGTTTACTGTAAATTAGTTTAGCTCAGTTTTGATCTTTTTAGTTTGTGCTTGTATTTTATGATTGTCAGTTTTCATTGATTGTGTTTTATAGTTAACTTCATTTTTAAGAAATCATTACCAAAATAAATTACAGTTACTATTAATATTCTTAATGTTTATTTATTAATAATTTAGTTAGGAATAGTTAGTGGGTTTTTTTTTATATGTTATTAGTTAGATGTTTCAAAAACAGCGCTGTAATCTGCATGTGCAGTCTTTAAGTTGATAAGATTTTAAGCTTAAACATATCTAAATGGTATAAATGAACTGATTCAACAACATGCCTCATTCACCCATTCACACACCTATTATGTATTTAAGTACTTTCTATCTAACATTCACACACATTCATACTCTGATGGATGCATCACAAAGCAACTTGGGGTTAGTATCTTGCCCAAGGATATTTGGCATGCAGACTGGAAAAGCCTTGGATCGAACTAATAACCATCTGATTAGTAGAGGACCTGTTGTATTCTGTGCAGATGATTTAGCTGAGAGGCAGGTATGAGGACACTGTTCATTCATTAACACTTTATATTCAGGTGTTAGTTATGGATGAACAGAATTCTTTATTCAGAAAAAAAAAACTTGTTTTCTTCAGATTCAATATCGGTCCAAAATTTGGACATACTAACTAGCAGTTAACCATTCATATGACTGGTTAACCATTCATTAACTAAACCTTCAAATGAATGGTTAATTGGTACTGTACAAAACCTTTTAAAATTATGCTTTTTCCAGACCTCACCTCATGTTCTGATGAGTCAGTTTAAGTTTTAAGCAAGATTTAGTTTAACTATATTTAAAATGGGAAATTCTTGAAATGTGTCATCCATTAAAATAGATGTTAATAATTGATGAACTTGTCTTTAGCTGTCTGCTTCTACTGTTCACACATTGTTAGCTCCCCTGAGCCATGTGAGGGATTTTTGAATTTCTTTGTGGAAAAGGTGAATAATGCCAGGGCTCAGATGACACCACCTACTCTTTACCATTCAAGCCCTTGTTCTTTGCTCTGTTGCTTTCTACCAGTTTGAGCCTGTAACTTTCTCTCTGTTTGCCATCTGAAGCCCTCAGGTTTCCCTATTGATGTTGCTCCACCTCAATTATTAGAGGTCATTTCTACTCTTGGTCTATCTGTTCTAGCTATTATTAATACCAGTTTTTTATCTGGTACTTTTCCTAAAACCTTTAAGCATGCTACAGCTCAACCTCTGCTTCAGAAAAATAGCCCGCCATTTTATCAAATTTTAGGCCTATTTGCAAGCTTACTCTTTTCTGTAAAATTCTGGAGAAAATTGCTTGTCAGTTGAAAACTTTTTAAATTTAAAAATAATGTCTTTGAGATTGCTTTTAAATCTCTGCATAGCACAGAATCTGCGTTGCATAGGGTTGTTAATGACATTCTCCTGGCTACAGATTCAGGATCATGTGATCTTGGTTCACCTAGACTTAACAGCTGCCTTTGACACAGTCTTTGGCAATATTTTACTATCTCGAATGGAACACTGGATAGGCATTTGTGGTACTGCTCTGCAGTGGTTAGAGAACCTTTGTTTAGACACGTAAGCAGCGAATTACAATAATCCAAGCGTGGCGAAATAAATGCATGTATATCTCAAGTTCAGAGCGAGATAAAATCGGGCTTAGCCTAGCCACATTTCTTAAATTATAAAAACAAGACCGAACCAGAGATTTCACATGCCCATCCAATGTGAGACTCGAGTCAAAGGTGACACCTAAATTCCTGATAGAGGATTTAACATAAAGTGAGAGAGGACCAAGGGCTTTCACTATCTGTGATAGAAACCTATCAGGGGCGCATACGGGGACTTCGGTTTTCCCCTCGTTGAGTTGGAGGAAATTTGCAGCCATCCAACGTTTGATCAAATCTAAGCAATCATTCAGACGCTGAAGCTTAGATAAATCCTCGGGCATAAAAGAAACGTACAACTGAATATCAGCATAACAATGATAAGAAATGTCCTCAAAAGAGCCCATTATATGCTGGAGGGGGAGAAGATAAATTAAAAACAATAAAGGCCCCAAGACTGACCCTTGAGGGACACCATAAGTAAGGGAGGTAGAGGATGACCTAAAATCGGAGACTGCCACAGAAAAGGATCGGTGATGGAGATAAGAGGAGAACCACTCTAATGCACTTCCAAATACACCAACCCATTTTTTCAGCCTTTCAATGATTCTTAAAAGGACATTCTAGCTTCATGGAGGATTTCAGCTGCTTACCAGTTCACAGCCTTTTTTGTTTTATTTTTGTTTCACAACACATTAAATGTTTTGAGTGAGTAACAGGTCTGGACTTAAGGCAGGGCAGTTTAAAACCAGCATTACATGTGTGATGTATTACAGCCTCCTGTTTCTGATTCTGGTAAATAATGCTCTTAAATTAGACATTTCTACTTGAATTATCATGTTGGTTAGTATCATTTCAACTTTGTGGTTTGGTCTCTTTTAACATAGAACAAAATGAAGAAAAAATATTCTCTGGAGGAGAATGGCACTCGAAGACTCTCCTTTGTAAGTACTAAACAAACAGCAAATTTACATGTTGCTTTTACTTCCTGACATCTTTTCCATCATCCACATCCTGCTTTCCTTTTAGATGCTTAGCTAATTTCAGACATTTAGCTATTGACTAAGGCACAACCTCAGTCTTTCATCCACTCTGCTTTTTTTACTGGTTGTCTTATACTTTCTTTTTGCTTTTTTGACTGTTTAGGCAGACGATGGTGTCCAGTGGCGAACTGGATCTGAGATCATCAATCCAGATGATCCTTGTGTGCACAGCTGTGAAAGGGATCACCCTTCCTCATTTAGAAAATATCAGCAGAGCTTGCAGATGCTCAAGCCCTTGCGTTTTTCCTCACCACAGTCAGTGTCAATATCAAACTTGATCGTTTAGATGAACTTAGATAATATTTGATGGCTAGTTATTTGTTTCCATATAAATACTTTATACTTGGAAATCTATTAATGCCCTCCTTTCACACAACATTTTATGTCTGCTTTATATTTAGGCCCCACCCTGTGGACAATGCAGGTTTCCTGTCCTTCATGACTTTTGCCTGGATGACCCCCTTGATGTGGTCCATTTTTAGGAATAAGCTGGACATCTCCGAGCTAAAGTTGTCTCCTTTTGATATTGCTGACACCAGTGCACAAAGGTCTTTTCTCTTCATATTATATTCAGATTTAAACACAACATATCCAAAAATCAGTCAGGGGGATCACAGTCAAAATCCAAAGACATAGTGACAGTTGGAAAAGTACTTGAAATTTACTAAGTACCTATAATATTTAAAAGAAAAACAGACTGCTGGGTGAGTAGGTCCTGATTGTAAGTGTCTGACAGGTTTCAGAGACTCTGGGATGAAGAAGTGGCAAAGAGGGGTCTGGAAAAAGCCTCACTGGTTCGTGTGGCCTTTCACTTTCAACGAACCAGGCTGATTGTTTCTGTCATTATTGGTATTCTTGCCATGGTTTCAGCATTTTTGGGCCCGGTGAGTCATCATCTCTGTGTTTCATGTTCTTAGATATTAGAACATGAACAATCCCAGCTGTATACAGTGGAAACCAGTTTTGTCCAAAGGCATTTCTGCCATTTCTAAATGTCGCATCTGAGTAATTTAGAGAGGAACCATCTCATCAAGTCATCTGAAGGTGCACATAAGTAAAAAAAAACAAAGAAACAATGATTTTAATCTCAGATCTTGTGATGAAAGCACATTTTGTTCTGAAAAGTAGTACCTGAAAGTGTAGCAATATATAATAACTAATATGTACATCTGTGGTGAAGTTTACATACACTCATCAAGGGGATGAATGTCACGGTAATTCTGTGCCTCTTTTATTTTCTTTGAACTATTTCATTTTTCAGGGTGGAACTATTGTACAGCACACATCATTAATGACTTTAAAAATTGGGTGCGTAAGTTTGAAAACATTTCAGATTTTTTCAAATCCCCACAGGGTTAAAAGTATACCTACAAGCCTAAAAATATACTTACACTCATTTTTTGTTAAATTTCCCGAGCAATTTGCACCTCAGCTAGATGCTTTTGGTAGCCATCATCAAACTTCAATACTTTTCTTCACAGAACTAGTACAGTTCATTTAAATTGGTTGATTTTCTGGCACAGACCCAGATCATTGTCCTGTTGAAAAAAACAACTTTGTCCAAGTTTTTACCATGTATCTGTTAAGATGAAGTTGAAAAATTTGGAGATAGTCTGTACATTGTGCAGGGAAACAGCTTCATAGCATTATGCCTCCATTGCCTTGCTTGACAGCTGGTACAGTGTTCTTAGCTTTGAGAGTTTCTGCTTTACTCCTCTAAATGTATCTCTTGTTATTGTGGCCAAATAGCTCAGTCTTGCTCTTGTCTGACCGTGTAATTTGTTCATGGATGGCATTCGACTTGTCCATGTGGGCAGCTGCAAATTTCAGTCGAACCCGAATGTGTCGATTTTGCAGCAGGGTCTTCGTTCTTTCTCTGCACCCTCTCAGTCCATGGTGATATAAAATATGTAATTTGATCTTAAAGATTCATGTTATTTAAGTGTCACTAACCATTTTCTCCCTGTTCTTTCAGGCTGTACTGATCAGCATGATCTTAAATTATATTGAAAACCCAGAGGAGTCCGTGTCCAACACAGTGTCCTATGGTGTTGGTTTGTCCATTGGTCTGTTCACCACAGAATGTTGCAAAGCTCTCCTAATATCCTTGCTGTGGTCAATAAACCTGCGCACAGCAGTGAGACTGAAAGGGGCTTTCTCTACAGTGGCTTTTCAGAAAATCATATCGCTGCGGGTATACAGCGGTGTTTCAATGGGAGAGGTAAAGACTAGTTCTCACTTCTATGGCAAATGCAATATAGCCACATTTGTCTGAGAAAGTTTTAATGCTCTTGTAATTGATTCTAAAGTAATTTTATCCACTTGTACAATATTCTTACAGCTGATAGCCTACAGAGGCCAGTGTAACAAAAATATGCTAATGTCTTTTTTAGCAAAGATTTCATTTTTGCTTTAAAAAACTTTGACATTGCTTTCACCCACGCTGTAGTGGAACAAACTTGGATGTGGGGTGCTGTTTGTGTCCATGGTAGACATTAGTGGACCAGATGTAATGTCTGCTATCTGTGAACATGAAAAGCAACCCTTGTTTGTCTTTGTTGCTATATTCTATCTTGAATGAGCATGCTTTATATTTTGACGTGTATACATATGTTTTACATGTTTTTAATATCTCATGTATTCTTCTTTCTATCCCTCCATAATGTATTATAAATTATCTTGTGAGTCAATAGTGCTACAAATAATTTGAACTTGTTTTGACATAAAAGAAATTTGTTTTGATGCAATTCCTAATTAACTTTTCTTCATATCTTTCTGCTGTCTAGATGATTAACATTTTGACCAGTGATGGCCAGAGAATGTTCGAGGCTGTAGTGTTTGGGAGCTTTGTGCTGTCTAGCACAGTGCTCTATGTTTTGTGTATTGTCTACATATGCTACATCCTGGGCTACACCGCACTGACTGGAATCTTCACATACCTGATTTTTGTCCCTGTACAGGTCTGTGTATATTTCACATAAATCTGACATATCTTTACATTAGAAGCTGTGAAAATAAAGTTGGTTCTTATTTTAACTGAAAATAGTGGAAAGTTAGCAAATCCAAATTTTGGAAATTGTATGCTTATATGCTATATTTTCAAATTTGATGTTAGCAACAGAAATGATTTTAACCTTAATGTTGTAAAGAATTTGTATATTCCTGGGAGCTGTTTTGCTCAGGACAATATGTTCTTGTAGAATTTCCCACTACAATTCTGACCCAGGAAAAGGGAAAAACAAGGGCTCAATTAAAAGTCCTAATGTACTGCCTAGGGGAAAGCTTTTGCACCTTGTGCATAGTGATAGTGTAGACAGGCAAAATTACATAAATTACATCATTGTTCAAAAATGTTTGGCCTATTTTGTGGCTAGGGTCCTGGAAGAGGTTCCCTGTGGAGACTCCATAGTTCTTTAGGAAGCTTGATCAGGGGGGAGGTGTTTGCGAGAATGCAAATAGTTTGTTTTTATGCCAGCAACTCTTTTTTGCTAGCATAAAATTCTTAATATCTAAAACTTAATACTGACCAATAATGAAATATAAGTATGTGTTTAATATGAGCTAATGAAAAATAATGGCAAATACTAATGTTGCAAAAACCAGACAAACAAAAATAATCAAAAAAAACAAAACAAAACAAAAAAACTGCACAAATGAGGTTTGTAACAATAATATAATAATAAGAATAAGAATAAGAATAAGAACAATAAGAACAAAATATTATATCACAAAAAATTGAGGCATATAGAACGGTATGTTTTACCTTTCTATAAACTCATTTCCTTGTTTAGTAAGCTGCTAAGATAGCAAAACTGATTTTTCTGTGTTTTTCTTATATTATCCCAAATATATTACTTTGCTTCTTATTAACTTTAGTCACTTACAATGTATTTTTCTTGATTTTTGTAGATTTTCTTGGCCAAGCTCATAAATAAATTCAGATGGAAGTCCTTATTGATAACTGACAGCAGAGTTCGCACGATGAATGAGATTCTCAACAGTATAAAGCTAATCAAGATGTACGCGTGGGAAGATTCTTTTGAGAAGACGATTACAGGTATGTCAAGCTGTTTCATGTTGATATTTTTTAAATCAGTATGTCAAATATCAAGGAAATATTCATACACACCAATTTGTTTAAAAACAAAATCAGCAAACATATAGTCACAATGGTATGTATGGGCATCCTTATGTACAGTTGTGATCAGAAGTCCAGATGCTTTTGGTCACCATCATCAAGCCTAGCCGCAAGAGGGTTGAGGTTAGGGCTTTAAGCTTCTGGACTGGTCTTCTAAATGTTAGTCTAATTTATCCATTGCAAAACCAATTTTGTGCCAAAGTGGAAGAATTTGGAGGTACCACTGGCCACAAAATAACCCCAGGCAACGATGCTTTACAGCTCGTACTATTATCTTAGGTTTGAAAGCCTCATCTTTACTTCTCTAAGCGTATCTCTTATCACCATGGACAAATAACTCAATCTTTGTCTTGTCTGACCATAAAACCTTTTTTCCAGAGGGCATTTGGCTTTTCCATGTGCAAATTTCAGTCAAGTCTGAAGGTGTCGATTTTGAAGCAGGGGCTTCTTTCTTGGTTGGCAGCCTCTCAGTCCATGAAGCTATAACTCACTTCACTGTGAAAACTGATGTCGATGTTCTTGTACTTAGAATTGTTTGAAATGATGATCTTGGAATCTGCATCTTGTGTAAATCAATACTTCTCTTTCTGAGATCTTCACTGAGTTCTTTCTCTTCCCCATTGTTCTGAGTATTGGTCCGTCCAATGATTGTTGTTAATGAAATCCTTTTTATGCTGGCAAAAAGAACCTAAAAGTTGCCATTAATCATTATCACTAACGAGATAATAATAGGTTTTGGTCCAGTCAAGTGAAAACACATTGTAGAACCATCAACACCGTCATTACATCCCAAAGACAGAACTGTTTAAAGAAATAGTTAAAGCCCTAAATTACAATGACATTCATGAGTGTATGTGAACTTCTGACCGCAACTACAGATCTATAATGAGTAAGGTGACTTCATGTCTAACTAATCCATACACTTTTATGTACCTCTCACAAGTATATCTATTTGTTAGACTCCCTTCATTACAAGTTGAAGCAGTCATCTGCCTCTAAAACATGCAGTTGTTTGTGAGAACATCTTGAACTCTCACTTACTTTCAATTTACCTTGAACTTTTATGGACATTCATTGGCTTGCTGCCAAATCTGGGGCACGTGTTCTCATTTTCCTATGACAAGTAAAGTGCATGTGGGAATATGATATGCTTTAGTATCTTATGATCTTGTTAACTTTCTTATCAACACTGTGAGGTCTAGGTCTTCAGTCTGTACTCTTGGTAGTTTCTTGTTTAAAAAATGATCATAATGTAGTCATCTGAATGCCTTATTTCTCATTACTAAGGTGCTCACTAAAGAACTACAGTAAAGAAAAAAGGTAAGTCACTAAAGATAAAGTTAACTAATGAAAAACTTTTAATTCTTACAGGCTTAAGGAAAAATGAAAAGAAACAACTACAGAAGGTCAGTTATGTCCAGACTATTAATATAAGCATCGCCAACATCCTACCCTCCATTGCCACTATCCTCACCTTTCTGGTTCACACTTTGTTGGGGTTACCTCTCAGCACTTCTGATGTGAGTACTACAGCAGTATACTAAAACTGTACAGGCGGAAAAACACCTTTAACTAACATGTCAACTTAAAGTAACAAGTCTGAGATTCTGCAGTTCTGAAACTCAGACTGTTTGGATATGAGTCATAAGATAATGAAATAAAGGTTTATTGCATTCCTTTAATTGCGATTGTGCTAAACCAGATTGCTGTGGCCCATTTAATATCAACATGATTTTCTTGCATTCCATAATCATATATAGTGTCTTAACATAATTCTTTGTTTTTACTAGGCTTTTACCACAATTGGCATCTTCAACTGCATGAGGTTCTCCCTCCTTGTCCTGCCCCCGTCTGTGAAGGCCACAGCTGAGGCTGTTGTAGCACTAAAACGATTAAGGGTAAATTATTTGTTTTGTGCCCTCTGTAACTGTTAACAATTCATGTAGTGACTCTATTGTGCTTTTTGTGTCTTTTGTCATATATATTCTTACACTGATGCATGCTCATATGAACACACTTTCAAACAATGAAGTCAGCATATGTACAAGCGAGCCAAAACCTCACAATTCAGACGTTTCTAAAATCACAGTTTTATTTTTTTTGTACTGCTGGCTGCCAGTGGCAGATGCTATGCATGATAAGGTCATCTCAGGTACACATCTTTTAAATATAAGATATATTGTCAACCTGCATCACAAATCTGGTTTAACGCTGCTTTGATTCCTGTCTTACTTTAACCCTTGCTTTTGTCACACCTTGTATCTGACTTTCATTCAGAAATATCAACAGAAAAACACAGATAAGCTTGTAAATGCTGTTTGTTGTTATTTCAGAAAATTTTGCTGATCCAGAATCCTGAGCCCTACCTGATGAAAAAGGTAGATAATGACTCGGCTATAGTGATGAAAAATGCTACATTTTCCTGGACCAGACCTGAAAGCCAGTCTTCCCCCCCACCCAGCACAGCCAGCGGAGTGTCAGAACACAAGACAGCTGAGACTGAATCCTCATCAGCATTGAAAAACATCTCCTTCACACTGCCTAAGGTGTGATTCAATTCTGATAATGATATCTCAGGTTATCTGCATTCTATTAAAAGTAAACTGATTGTCTCTGGTATTTCCCGAAGGGCAACCTGCTCGGTGTCTGTGGGAATGTGGGAAGTGGAAAGACATCACTGATTTCCAGCATTTTGGAACAGGTTGCTTTCTCTTTTGTGTTTTTGTCCTTTTCTGTTATTTTGTATCGTTTCTTTATAGTTTTCTTTTATTTATTTTTGTTCACTCTTTCGTTATTTGCATGCGTTGAGAAGATAGAACGAGGACCTTGAGGATTCAGTGAATGTAGACAGTGAGCGAAACAGGAGGACTGTTGGAGGAAAGTTTGTGAATCAGGAAGTGCAGGGGATTAATAAGAAGGTGAGGGCAGCTATGAAGAGGATGAAGACTTGAAAGGCATTTATGACCAGGGCAAGGGTGATGTGCAAAAGTGTAATAACCTTTTTCTTCTTTTTGTTTTGTTAGCTTGAAGACACGTTATTAGGCAAAACTTGTGCTAATGCTACTAGGATTCAGCTAATGTCTGTTATTTAAATGTAGTCGATTAAATAAGTCCTACTACTGGAGTTCATTTGCGAGGTTTATTCTTGCATGAAGGAATTCAGTCAGTACAAGGCATGCAGGATTGAAGTGAGGAATTCTCTGGAACAGGGGAAGCAGACCCCACCTGTATAGGTTGTTACCCTGTTGCAAGACAGAAAACTAGTCACCCTACACAGGTCAAACATAGTTCAACAGGATATATGTAGCAGATAAGCTAAACAAGTCTTATCAATCCAGAGACTAGAAGCAGGGCACTGTCTGAGTTGGGGAAATTCTGCATGCTTGCACTTCTTCTTCATGCAGGGGTCAAGCTGTATCTTAGTATATAACAAAACAATCTTCTACATATCTTATCTGCATAACACTTGTGTAGAAGGAAGCTGTTACAGTTTGTTTGCAAACATAGTAGTAATCTCCAACTTTATCTTCAGAATTATGTAGATGACAGAGAGTGATAAAGTTTTTGAGTCATACCATAAAGCTACAGGAAAAAATTGTTGAAGGTAGGTTAGTAAGAAAGGTGACGATCAGTGAGCAGAACGATGGCTTCATGCCAGGAAAGAGCATTATAGATTTGATGTTTGCTTTGAGATTGTTGACCGAGAAGTAGAGAGAAGGTAAGAAGAAGTTGCACTGTGTCTTTGTGTGAATCTAGAAAAGGTTTATGGTATGGTGTCACAAGACAAACTGTGGTGCTGCTGCACTTCTCTCAGTAGCAGAGAAATATGTTAGGGTGGTGCAAGACATGTACGAGGACAACGAGACAGTTGTGAGGTTTGTGGTAGGAGTGAAAATGGGATTATATCAATGAGTGGCTCTGAGCCTCTTCTTCTTTGCAGTGGTGATGGATATGCTGATAGAAAAGGTCAGGCAGAAGTCTCTGTGAACTAGGATGTATGCAGATGATACTGTGATCTTTATTAAGAGTGTGGAGCAGGTGGAAAAGAGCCTGGAGAGGTGGAAGTACACACTGGAGAGAAAAGGGATGAAAGTCAATACATATATATGAATAGGGCATACGATCAGCCTTGATAAGGTCTAACAAGAGACGAAGGAGGAGAAAGAAGAAGTTTTTACTATTTCTAACCGTACATAAAATGTCCAGTAAATATAGCTTTTCTGTCTCCTTGATTTTATCTTTTAGATGCACCTTCTTCGGGGCTCCATCACAGCCGATGGGACATTTGCTTACGTCTCCCAGCAGGCCTGGATTTTCCACGGAACTGTTCAAGAAAATATCCTCATGGGGGAACCTTTTGACCAAACCAAGTAATTGATAATTTAACATAAATCAGCGCTTGTCACTATTTTTGAGTAGCTAAGACTTGAATATGAAAAGAACAGGTATTATTATAAAATAAGGAGATTTCATTTGGGGCAATATGATTTTAGTTACTGCACCAACCAAGACTATGAAAATGAGGGCAAGCGTTTTAGATTTGACTATATATTCCCTGTGACTTTACCTTACATGAAAAATGTTTAACTAGGAGAAAGTTCATCTTATCTTTGTGAATTTGCATCTGATAAGAATGTAATAAAGGTGGAGGTCATCTTCATTATCTGACAGGGTTACAATAGGAAGTAGGGATGCACCGATACCACTTTTTTGGAAAACGAGTACGAGTACTTGCATTTCAGTACTCGCCGATACCGATACCAAGTACTTACTCATTGACAAATGCCAGCCATTTGACTTTCTGGTAGTAATAAGGGAAATGTATTTCATATTATATATATTGCATACATTTGTATTTGTGTATTTTAGTTACAAATATATAATATTTCAGATGTAAAATAATCTTACATTTAGTACTGTAGTTTATCATTGAATACCTATAGCACACAGACTTTACCTTGGGTCAAGTATGGTGGAGATGAAGTACAGTGGGTTGGTCTCGACGTCACTGAAGCGCTTCTTGACAGCTGCCTGTAAGGTTGCTTTCATTGCCTTGACGCCGTGGTCCTCATCTGTTTCTCTGTTTAGAAGTCTCACTAGCACAGTCACAGCTGGGATGACATCAGAGGCTAGTGCGTCATAGCTGCTCACTTTTTTAGTTAGTTCCTCAAAGGGGGCGAGGATGGCAACAGTCGTCTCCATAAGAGCCCATTGGTGAGCGGTGAGATAGTCAGGGAGTTCGTGCTCGGACACATACACCTCCAGCACTCGCTTTTGCTCAATGAGGGACTGGAGCATGTAATACGTGCTGTTCCAGCGCGTCTGTAGGTCCTGCTGCAGTCTCTTTATTGGCTGGTTGAGCTGTCCCTGAATGTCCTCGAGGCAGGAGTAGGCTAAGGCGGAATGTTTAAAATGCCCAACTAGTTTCCGTCCCACTGCTATAGCATCAGCTATGCTCCTCTGTGCTAATAAGCATGGGTAAATAAGCGTGGGTAAACTCTTTGTACTTGTTGTCGTGTTGGGGTTTTAGGTGCTTGATTAAATTACTTGTGTTAAATGCACTACCTTTTGAGCCTCCTCTGGACAATTTCGCTGAGCACAATTTGCAGTCCGCCTTTGTTTTCACGTCTTCGTTCACTTTGAAATAGTTCCACACAGCTGACATGTCTCGCCTTGCCTTCTCCCCGCTCTGAACTGCAGCCGGGGCCTGGGGGCGGGCACTTGGCGCTTGTGATTAACCCCTTACATGCCGCTCAAACATAGACAGGTCTCAGACCGTGGTATCGGTTCCCGGTATCGGGGGACTTTTAATGAGTACGAGTACTTTAGAAAATGTGGTATCGAGGCCGATACCAGATACCGGTATCGGTGCATCCCTAATAGGAAGTTCAATTTAGTGATGGTGAGAAGGGAAACTTGCTGACCTCTGTAGTGTTGACTTAACAGAAAGTGAAAGGGCCCTTTCATAACCTCTCATAAACCACCAGGCACCATATGTCTGAGCAAATTAAAGGAATTCTTTTTCAAAGAAAAGTTTTCCAGAGACCAGTGCTTATCCTGATTACATATGTTATTGGACTCATTGGATTTTTAGAATTATTTAAATGGTTCTGTTCGATACACTATATTTCTCTCAATCAGGGCACTATCTTACATTGTCACTCCACAGATATGACAGGGTTGTGGATGTCTGTAGCCTCAGAGCTGACCTGAAGATTCTGCCATTCGGTGACCAAACTGAGGTAGGTGCTCTCTCTTTAACCTCCTAGGACCTGGCGTCCACATATGTGGACATCACATTTTGGGTTATTTAGACCAAAATAGGGCAGCATGGTGGCACAGTGGTTAGCACTGTTGCCGCACAGCAAGAAGGTCCTGAGTTCAATTCCACCATCAGGCCGGGGTCTTTCTGTGTGGGGTTTGCATGTTCTCCCCGTGTTTGCGTGGGTTCCCTCCGGGTACTCCGGCTTCCTCCCACTGCCCAAGCTAGACATGCAGCTTGTGGGGATAGGTTAATTGGATAATCCAAATTGCCACTAGGTGTTAATGGTTGTCTGTCTCTGTGTGTTAGCCCTGCGACAGATTGGCGACCTGTCCAGGGTAGGGATGGGTACCGGTATCGGTTCTGACATAAACGGTAGTAACCAGACCGAAAAGCAGCGCACATTTCGGTGCTTTATTTCGGTGCTTTTCTTTCCTGAGCTGTGATACACTTTAGATTCTAGCCAATCATTTTACACTTCCGAGGATAGTAGGCGGGTCCAGGTACTTTAGAGCAGAGCTACAGATTAAAAATGCCCAAGGCAAAGCGGTCAAAAGTCTGGCTGTATTTCACAGCAAAAGATGCAAACTCAGCAGCCTGCAACAAATGCTTTAAGGTGATACTGTGCAAAGGAGCTAACACCTCGAATCTGATGAAACACCTGGCGACGCATAGCGTTTTTTTTAAAAAGCAAAGAAATGCACCGTATTTAATGGCAGCAGCAGCCGTTCTTCTCTGCGTGAGTAGCTTAATGTTGCTCGTGTGTAATTTACCTTTAGTAGGCTAACCACGTTATTACATTAATGCATGTAAGGTGAACTAGCAAACATCATCATAGCTACATGCGGCTGTCTTCTTGTTTGATGGCAGATACTCCCTTCACCCTGGCCAAAAAGGCTAAAATGACCAAAGAAAAAGTGGAAAACAGTTACTGTAAACATGAGAGGTTTTTGGACAAAGTTTGTGTTTTTTCCATTGTTTAAGCACTGCTTCCAGCCAAGAGCAATACCATATATGCCCCATAGCTGCAGAAAAGGCTAACATTGCTATCTTTTTACAAAAAAACAGCTGAACATGAGAGGTTTTTGGACCAATTTTGTGTTCTCCATTCTTTAAGCACCGGTTTGAGCACCGGTTTGAGCACCGTTTAAGCACCGGCACCGTTTCAAAAGTACCGGTTTGGTACTGGTATTGGATAAAACCTAAACGATACTCATCCCTAGTCCAGGGTGTACCCCGCCTTTCGCCCTATGACAGCTGGGATAGGCTCCAGCGCCCACCGCGACCCTGAAAACGGATAAGCGGAAGCGAATGGATAAATGGATAGACCAAAATACTCAATTTTGCTCTACATGGGCCTGATATCCACTTACGAGGACATTATAATGCTACTGTTCTATCAAAATTTTAAACAAATATCCTCATTTGTGGCTCTTATCTTTCTTAAAAACAAAAATAAGGTAAAAAAAAAAAAATCTGGTAATTCTTTGTTTTTACATTCATCGGGTCCCAATCAGCCCAAATATCAAAGAGAAATTAAAAATGCATGTCGTGAAAGAGTTCGGGTCTAACGGTGTGTTCACACCGAACGCGATGGACGCGAATAAAACGCCCCAAACGCCCCTAATTTGACGCGTGTACATTCGCGTCTCAACGCGTGTCCAAGAAAAATCCATCGCGCCTCAAAATATGATATTTTGACGCGCGTGAACCGGAAATGTGGGAGGAATGTGGGAGGGAGTTGTGCCAGACTGGTATCTTTGCAAGATGGCAGCTATCGAGCTAGCGCTTGAAGAGAGAGTCTCCCTTCTCTATGTACTGTGGAGAGCAGAGCAGCGGCGTAAAAGACGTCCTCGCCGTACCTGGGTCCATCAGGTCCTCCAGAGGCATGAGCAGTTTGGTGAGTTTCACCACTTGCTCCAGGAGCTGCGCCTGGATGACGGCCGATTCCAGCGCTATCACCGTCGGCCAGTTTGAGGACCTGCTTTCCCTCTCGGTCCCAGCATCGCCCGCTTAAACACCAACTACAGACGCTCAATCCCACCTGCAGAGCGCCTGTCCGTCTGCCTGAGGTTAGTAAAACTATTTAATACGGTAGTCCTTTATTGATATCTGTGCTAATATGCTAATCCATCCAGTTATACACTGCTAACATGGATGTGCTATGCTAACAGTGAATGCTGTCGGTGTTTACTGAAAGCAAACTGTGGTACAGAGACGACTCTTTATAATATTTCTAGTGATACTCAGAAGCTCTCATCAAGTCCCGATTTAATTCGATTTATGCTGTTATCAGTGTTTGCATGATAGCATGGCTGTGGTGTCACATCAATGTATGCGCTCGGTGTTTGCTGATATCAAACTGTAGCATTAGCACCACTGAGTTAACCTTTGTAGTGATACTCACGCGCGTGGTTTTATTCGCGAGTCAAACGCGCCAGACGCGCTACACTGACGCGCGTTTCACGCGTTTTGGCGTTTTCGCGACGCAAATCTGCTTCCGAATTTTCGCGGGACCCGCAATCGCGCGTCATCGCGCCTTTCCATTGACTTTACATGTAAACCTGACGCTCTATTCGCGTCCATCGCGTTCGGTGTGAACACACCGTTAGGAGGTTAAACTGTCAAAGAAATTCATTGAAAGTCCTTATCTGCATAAACAAGTATCTGCTAGATAAGTAGAAAAAAAAGCCTTGTGTCATGTGTCCTAGTCGTTTAAACATACAATTCAACAAAGTCCAAAATAAATAATGAGCTATTTGTCAGTCTGCCCCAGGGCAGCTGTGGCTACAACTGTAGCTGCCTCCACCAGTGTGTGAATGTGTGTGTGAATGGGTGGATGACTGGGTGTGTAAAGCGCTTTGGGGTCCCTAGGGGGGACTAGTAAAAGCGCTATACAAATACAGGCCATTTACCATTTGAAGTTAAACAAACTGTAACAATCATATCTCCCCTCCAGCAACTACTATGTGAAGATAAAGGAGGGTATATTGAGACTAGGGCTGCTCAATTAATCGAATTTTAATCACGATTACGATCTGGGCTTTCAACAATCATTAAAAATGACTGAGCCGATTATTTGCCCCTCCCTCATTTTTCCGCGACACGTTAAAGGCCAGTCCGTGAAAATATTGTCGGGCATAAACCGGTCCATGGCGCAAAAAAGGGTGGAGACCGCTGATTAAGAGGACCCGAGGGAAGCTCGGAAAGCTAAGCAGAAGTTATTTGGAGAGGAGAGTGACTGCCGTTGGTTGAAAAGAGAGGTAAAAAAAACTTCAGTGGTGTTGCACACTATTTTATATTATTTTTTAAAGTCATTATTCAATACGTTGTTATTGTTAACCCTTTAAAGCCGGTCCGAGCTGCACGCTCTGTTTTGTGTAACTATTTTTAAATTCCTGAAGAACCTGAACCGTGTAAGCTAGCGCAATAATTTTTTTTTGCATATGAAATCAGAGGAGTTGTACTTGACATCAGCTTGTCCTCGGTCACGGTTTCGTTCCACATATAGCTTTGCAAAAATTGCATAAAAAGCGCTTGCAGGAACAAAAACATAATATTCCAGAAACACGCTTTGCCGATCCAATCAGCTGTTCGTAACACTTCCCACAGTGAAACAGATGTCAGCGCAAACTATCGCATGTCCGCCATTTCCTGCCCGAAACCGGAAGTGACGTCATTTTCGCGGAAAATTTAGTTTTTTACTTGTAGGCCTTAAAAGCCTATACTGGTGTTTTTATAAGTCATGTTTGACTTTTCTGAATAGTTTCTGTGATGCTTAGAACTCGAATTGCACTGCTGGAAATAGTTTATTTTGATGCACATGCTGTTTTCTTTGCAAATTTGCATCATAGGATTGTTTTTTCGTTTTTCCTGCAGTATATAAAAATTGGTGTATCTCCAAAATAAAACTATGAAGACACTCAAAATAAATTTCCTGTTGTTGTAAACTATTTTTGCAACTTTTTTGTATTTAAAGTTTTGAGGGATAAACCTCTTAAATTTCTCCAAGTAGAAATATATGTAAAAAACAAAACAAAAATGATTTTCAATTTTTTTGTAGTTTATTGCACTTTTTTGCAATTAATGTAGTTACTATGGACTTAATGCATACATATTATTAAAATATGGGCTATAATAGTTGTATAGCAACTTGAAATGCTCCCACAAATGGCACTACAACATGTAAAAAAATAATATAAGCTCTGGCGGACTTGGTTCTATAGTAGGTCGTAAGGGTTAAATAAATATCGTCAAATAATCGAGATCTCAATTTCAGTGAAAATAATCGTGATTATCATTTTTGCCATAATCGAGCAGCCCTAATTGAGACAGAATAATGCCATAGTGTTGTATGGAATAAATGCACTAGTATAATGTAATGAATTACAATATTTAAAATATAATACCATCTCTTCCATAAAGATTGAGTAAATTTCTGGATTATATTAAGTCTTACTGACATTTTGTCAGATTGGGGAGCGGGGGCTTAATCTGTCAGGGGGACAGAAGCAGAGGATCAGCCTGGCCAGAGCAGTCTACTCCAACAAGGACATCTTCCTCCTTGACGATCCTCTATCTGCTGTTGACGCTCATGTGGGGAAACATATTTTTGAAGAATGCATAAAGAAGGAACTCCAAGGAAAATCTGTCATACTGGTTACACACCAGCTCCAGGTAAGAACACGGTTTCATTCTTTAGTGCTTTCACTAAAGAATAACACTAAATGACAAGAACAACTGATGTAAGCAGTTAAAAGAAGACTTTCCTGACCATATATATTGTAATTTTACAGTCAGAGGCCATGTCTTACCATGACAGGAAGAATAGAAAAACATCCGTTAATGTTTTATAAAAATCACTATATTCCATTTTGTTAATCTGTATAAAAACCAAAGTGAAAAATTAACCAGGTTACTTGATGGATCATAGCTTGGTCTGAGACTCTGAAATCTGGAAATCAGATTTCATGAATATGAATATACATATTCATGAAATTAATATGCATATTGTCTAAAATTGTATTTTTAAATATGACATTTTGGACCATGTCCCTATTGCCAGTCTTGGCAGCCGGGGGTCAGTCCGCCAGGGCCTCCGCTCCTGGCCGCCACCCAGCACACAATGCACCCGACCCCTATGGCGCCTCCTGCGGGTGGTGGGCCTGCGGGAGGATGGGCCCATGTCTCCTCTTCGGGCTGTGCCCGGCCGGGCCCCATGGACTAAGGCCCGGCCACCAGACGCTCGCCCTCGGGCACCCTCCCCGGGCCTGGCTCCAGGGCGGGGCCCCGGTAACCCTATCCCGGGCAGGGTAAACTGTTCCCTCGCTGTCCTTTTCATAAGGGTCTTCAGAATCGCTCTTTGTCTGGTCCCTCACCCAGGGCCAATTTGCCATGGGAGACCCTACCAGGGGGCAAAAGCCCCCAGACAACATAGCCCCTGGGATCCCTGGGACACACAAACCCCTCCACCACGATAAGGTAGCGATTCAAGGAGGGGCCGGAGATCGACAGACGGATTGGGGCTGCAGCTGCAGTAATGCGGACGCTGCACCGGTCCGTCGTGGTGAAGAGGGAGCTGAGTGTAAAAGCGAAGCTCTCAATTTACCGGTCAATCTACGTCCCTACCCTCACCTATGGCCACGAGCTGTGGGTAGTGACCGAAAGAATGAGATCGCGGATACAAGCGGCAGAAATGAGCTTCCTCCGAAGGGTGGCTGGCCTCTCCCTTAGAGATAGGGTGAGAAGTTCGGCCATCCGGGAGGGGCTCAGAGTAGAGCAGCTGCTGCTCCACATCGAAAGGAGCCAGCTGAGGTGGTTCGGGCATCTGACAAGGATGCCCCCTGGGCGCCTCCTGGGTGAGGTGTTCCAGGCATGTCCCACCGGGAGGAGGCCCCGGGGCAGACCCAGGACACGCTGGAGAGATTATATCTCTCGGCTGGCCTGGGAACGCCTTGGTATTCCCCCGGATAAGCTGGAGGAGGTGGCTGGGGAGAGGGAGGTCTGGGCCTCTTTGCTTAGGCTGCTGCCCCCGCGACCCGGCCCCGGATAAAGCGGATGAAGATGGATGGATGGACATTTTGGACCAATTCAGTCAAATCTGAAAAAACCTAGAAGGCATTCTTGGCTAATAGTTTACCTACTAATCATAAGTCACTAATCTGAGGAAGAGTATTTGACTGGTGCTCTTACCCGTGAGTTCTAAGCCATTTCGTAAGTCACGCTACTGGAGATAAGAACATCTGTCAAATGACATAAATATGTACGTACATGTGATTATAGTTTTGAACAGGTCTGTAGATTTTGTTGCCACAGTTGTTCTCACTTATGCTTGCTAGTATTTGGAGTTCTGTGATGACATCCTGGTTCTGGATGACGGGGAGATCAGGGAGGCCGGAAACCACCAAACCTTGATGAACGCCAGCGGACGCTATGCTCAGCTCATCACCAATTACCAGATGGAACAGTCCAAAGTAAGTATACCCTAAATTAAAAGCATGCATCTTGTACCTCTTCTATTTTTATCTTTGATTCTTATTATTATGTTCCTGCAAACCACCTCACCTGTTCTTTATTGTTTTATTATGTCAAAAACAATAAACTTAATGATCAGTTGTAAAACAAGGTACAAATCATTCCATTTGTGGTTATACGTTTGTACGGGCTGTGCTGTAATGCTGTGTTCCTGATATTCTTGCTTGTCAGACTCAGAATGAGGAGGGAGGGGAAGAGGAGGATTTATCATCCCAAGATACCCCTGAGTTGAAAGAGGTTGAGCTCAGATATCGTGCAGACAGTGGGATGGCAAACCCTGGTAAAAAAAACTAGGAAGAAAATCATTTTAATAATTTGAACTTTTTGGGTGTTTTTGAATTCATGACAGACTTTACATGTTTTAGTAGTGATTTGATTTGATTTGATTTAGTTGTGCTTTTTTGAATACGGTGGGATTTTTGTTTTTTCACTGTCCAGAGACCAGTGTTCAGGGGGATGACGCTGACACTTTCTAAATGTTGCTGTGCCAATGCACGTGCAGTGTTGACACATCAGTACTTTTGATTGTTAAAGAGCAACTGTATAACCAGGGACAGGTCAAAGTTTTGTAAAGCAAAAACAAGGCCTTGTAAAGTAATAACAGACAGGGCAGCAAACTTGTTGACCTGGCTGTTTTTGCTATATACCCATATTATAAGTTCTTGTGACTTCGTACCAAAAACATGACCTGTGAAGGTCATGACATAACATTACTATCATATTTATATGCATCATTGACCCATCTTCATTGGCCCATCTTCATTGGCCCATCTGTAACCGGAAGGTCGCCGGTTCGATCCCCGGGCTCTCTGTCCTGGTCGTTGTGTCCTTGGGCAAGACACTTTACCCTACCGCCTACTGGTGTTGGCCAGAGAGGCCGATGGCGCGATATGGCAGCCTCGCTTCTGTCAGTCTGCCCCAGGGCAGCTGTGGCTACAACCGTAGCTTGCCTCCACCAGTGTGTGAATGCAAGAGTGAATGAATAGTGGCATTGTAAAGCGCTTTATAAATCCAAGCCATTATTATTATTTAAAATGACTCTTCCCTCTATGGATACAATGTATACAAGTGATCAGTTTCCAGATTTCCTTGCTGTAGGGGTCTGTGGTTCAACTCTTTGCAGTTATGTCTTACAATATGTGGACAATGATAATTTAAGTCAATTTTTGTGATTAGTAGAATGATAAAATTACTTCTATTCTTCCTTTCAGCATTTGACATGTCAGATGAAAAGGATCATGAAACAACAGCTGAGCAAAAGCGTAAGTCTTTAAAGTTCACTTAATTCTGAGTGTCATCCCACCGTTTGTCAGCTGTTTCACTATTACATATTTAGTTGTTATGTGATCCCCTTTTTTACACCAAGCAATACTTTAGATTTTTTAAATATTTTTTATAATGGAAATGCACATGTGATGCATGTCAATGCAAATGGAAGTCACTAATCCTGTTACGACTCTATTAAAATATTTTCCCTGTTTTAAGCTCCTGTCAAGTCTGATGACCAGCTGGTCCATCAAGAGTCCTCCACAGAGGGTGCTGTCTCCTTAAGAACCTACCACCGGTACTGTCAAGCAGCTGGAGGTCTGATATAACACACACATGCATTTACATGATTTTAAGCAATAATGTACCAATATGTACTTAATAGTTGTGCTGCAACTCTTTGCTACAGGCTACATTCTCGTCTTTCTCACTGTCCTGAACATTGTCCTGATGATTGGATCCACAGCCTTCAGCAACTGGTGGCTCAGCTTCTGGCTTGGAAAGGGTAATGGGGTGAGAATCCTCTCTCTCTAGCATTCACACAAAAATAATCTCATCATGCATAAACAGCTTGGGTGAAATGACTATGAGCTCTCAGTCACTGTGTAGCCTAACACAAGTTAATCCAATAAAGATGATTACAAGCACCAGAAGGTACATTGTTTCAAGTAAGATTGCCCGTGTTAGCCAGTCTCTTTAAAATTAGAGGGTTACAATGGACTTAAGGTCAAACCTTGAATTTTTGGCTTTTTCCAGGCTATCTCAGCTTTTAAGTAACCCACAAATACTTACTAGTGATGAGTTCAGGTGGTGGTCAAGTGAGGTCTGTGAGAGTTAGTGCTCTTTGGCCTTGAGCAGTTCTTATTAAGATCAGATTATTGGATGTGCTCATTATACTGCTGCAGTGTGAATCTTTTACAGGGTCCAGCATACCTGTAAAGAACAGAGTGCTAACTGAATGGTCTGGGCAGAACCAATGTGATGAAGAACATAATATTCCAGCTAGCACATTTCTTAGTGGTACACTCTCGTATTATTCCAGCCTATCAGTACACAGAATACTGGCACATCTTAGTCTACTCATTACGCTTGTTTAGCTTGAGCCTAACCCTAACCATGCTCCAACACCATTACTGCTAAAAATTGTTCTTTAACAGTACTTTTGCATGCTGGAGTGTTATGTTCTTTATTTAGCAAATTCTGGATCTGGAAAGAAATTCGTTTCCATGCACTGCTGTATTAGAAAACTGCTCTCTAGCTGTGTCTTGTCACTCAAGATGACAGTTCAAGAAAGACCCACTGAAACGATAGACACGCCAAGTCCACTCTCTCTCCACTAACAAAAGATATTTTGTCTGTTTTATCGAAGTCATCGACTAACCCAGGTTCAGATCCAGGTGACATCTCAAAAAATCCAGACCTGCACTATTACCAAACGATTTATGGTGTGATGATGCTCATCATGGTGGTACTTGCCCTCATCAAATGCTTCTTTTATACTTACGTCACCTTGAGGGCCTCCTGCAAACTCCACAACACAATGTTCAAGAAGGTACCAAGAAATAATCCCCAGTGTTTACCATCCAACATGACCAATTGAAACACAGATTAACTGCTCAATGATTCAAAGAATGATTATTTTTGTTGTTTGTATTTTCCTCTCACAGATTTTTGGCAGTCCAATGAGTTTCTTCGACACAACTCCAACAGGCCGAATTCTAAACCGTTTCTCTAAAGATCAAGAGGAGGTGGACACTATGCTTCCTCTTGTCATGGATTCTTTCCTGCAGTATTGTCTTCTCGTCACATTCACAATTATCATCATCACATCCGTTTTTCCATACATGCTTGTGGCTGTAGTCATCATGGGAGCTTTGTTTACCCTCATTCTGTTGTGAGTTAAGTTTTAAAAATTGTCTTAGTGCGAGAGCAGATAGTTGTTTAAGGTACAGTTTGCTCAACATTTGTTTGAATTTATCTGCAGCCTATTCCAAAGGGGTATTCGTCTTATGAAGAAGATGGAAAATATCAGCCGTTCTCCCTGTATCTCACTAACGACTTCTACACTGCAGGGCCTCAGCACCATCCATGCTTACAACACAAGAAACAGTCACATAGAAATGTAAGACACCAGAACTCTTTCACAGAAACAAATAAAAGTCTCTCTATTACTGGTCGTAATAGTAAATAATGTGTTCTTCTGTAAATATCTGTAAATGATGTGGTCTTTGATCGGTGCTCTCAACTCTCATCACGTCGTTGTGTCATATTGTAGGTTCAAGTCCCTGAATGACATCAACTCCAATCACTTTTTATTGTTTCATTCTGGCACCCGGTGGCTTTCTTTCTGGCTGGACTTCATGGCTGCTATTATGACCTTGTTGGTGTCTCTGTTTGTAGTGCTTAGCAGTAATGACTTTATCGCTCCATCCTTGAAAGGCCTGGCCATAACCTATACCATACAGGTAAATAAGGAGAGCAGAGTTATACGTCTAAGTCATGTTGAAATGTGTGTTTGTGTTTTGTTAGAACTTTTGCGTATTGTCCAGTTGACAGGCATGCTTCAATATGTAGTAAGACTGTCAACGGAAGTGGAAGCAAGGTTCAACTCAGTGGAGCGACTGCAGGAATACATCATGGTCAGATTTCTCTCCGGAAACGATCCATCTTTCATTGTTTTGCCAAGACCAAACCCCAAATTCCCTCTGTTTGCCTCACTCAAAAAATAAACTTTTTTATTTGCAGGATTGTAAATCTGAGGCCCCCAGGCATGTTAAAGAGGCTCAGATCCCACAGGACTGGCCTAGCAATGGGGGCGTCTCCTTCAAAGACTATAAGATGAGGTACAGAGAGAATACACCAATCGTCCTAAACGGCCTTGATTTCCACATTCAACCTGGAGAGAAGCTGGGGATCGTGGGAAGGACTGGCTCTGGTAAGGCTCTGGGTTCAGTAGCTGTTTCTCTTGTTGATTTCATCTAGTCTTTGGGTGATGATGATTTACAACAATACACCCTAGAAATGATGATAAATACATGAATTCGTTTTTCAACATCACTCTGAGACAGACAATTTAATCTTAGAGCAGTGGTTCTTAACCTGGGTTCGATCGAACCCTAGGGGTTCGGTGAGTCGGTCTCAGGGGTTCGGCAGAGCCTCCGCCATGACATGCATGGCTCATTTTGCACAGTTTCCTTTTTTTGGGAAACAGGGTTGTAATTATTATAGCAGTGAATTCCTAATTATTCCATAGTGCAGATTACAATTTTAATCAGCTCTTCTCAACAGCTATAGTGTAATATTCAGCTACTCTGCTCTGTGCTTTGTGTCTGTAGGGAAATCCTCTTTAGGAGTAGCTCTATTCAGACTAGTAGAGCCTGCAGCAGGAACCATAAAGATAGACGGAGTTGATATTATGTCCATTGGCCTGCAGGATTTGCGCAGCAAGTTGTCCATCATCCCTCAGGACCCTGTGCTGTTCATCGGTACAGTAAGGTAGTGAACCAGAAGTACAGAATCACACACTGATTTTACTCCTGCATGTCAGTCACTAAAGAGCTGTTTTTCCTACAGGTACAACCTAGACCCGTTTAATAACTACACTGATGAGGAGATTTGGGCAGCACTGGAGAAGACCTATATAAAGGACTCAGTATGTTATCAGTATTGTATAGTCTTATTGTTTGTTTTGCCACTTGCTTTTATCCAAGATTTTGCTTTGACAAAAACTAAAACCCACAACGCGTAAGACTGCAGTCTCTGTGACACGTCTGATATAGCCCTAAAAGAAAATGGAATAGCCCTAGAGCCAAACATATATTTTATGTTCATTTTTTTGACACATCCTATGTTCATGTTGTTCATGACGTTTATTTAGTTTTACTTCTGTTCTTTGTTTCCTTTAATTAGCTATCAGTTATTAGATTTTTAACAATTTTTCTGCCACTGGCCAGTATTGTTTACTCTCTGACGAGCTCTGCATATTTACTTTATCTTTGCATTGAAAATTTCCTCCAGTGCCCTACATTTAGTTCACCTTCCTCTGTGTACAATTATAGTACCATCTGTCCAGGCACATGTTTTTCCGCAGAGGAAAACAACTCTCTAGCAGTTATTAATGGCACCACTAATGCTGACTAATGTTGCGCTCATGCCGTGAACCTGGAAGTAATAAACCCTAAAGATTTTTATTACAACAAGTTTGATAAGGTTCTGGCATGTCTAAATGTTTATCACAGAATACACTCAGGAACAGTGTTGGTCAAGTTACTTGAAATAAGTAATCAGTAACTAATTACTGATTACTTCCCCCAAAAGTAATCCCGTTACTTTATTGATTACTTATTTTCAAAAGTTATTAATTACTTAGCTACTTTTTAAAAAACACTATTTACAACCTGAATAGGTAATAAAGCAATAGCTCTTTCAGCCCAAATCTAATTTCTGCATAATCCATCATACAAAATGTAATCAAATGGAAAAGTAAATTTTTTAAACTTGTTTTATCAGTTTTAATCTTTTAACTTTATGCATCAAGCGAAAATTTTATTATATGCACCATTCTCTGACTGGAAGAAATTAGTTTAACATTTAAACCTATTTTCTGCACATTCCAGCACATAAAATAAAATGTTTTTTTGTGTTAACACTCACTCTTTCAAATAGATGCAAGTAAAACACAGCAGAAAATAAATAAAGTCAAAGACTAGCAGTCCTTCTGCTCTATTTTCACCTGTAAAGCAGGAGTGGCGTAGGCGGAGGTTTACCCTGGTGCAGGTGTGCCGCACCAGTCAGTTGAAGAATCCGCGAGTTTCTCTGTGAATTTCCCATTACGTCATAGCGCACTCGGTGCTTGCTTGGAAGTTTAGGGGTTTTTTTTTCGCTGAACACGCACAACAGACACTAATGTTTTTGTCACTTTTTATGGAATCAAACTTAAAGGTCAGTGCTTCCACGCTTTAAACGCTGCACGCTCATACTCTCTCCCGCACTCGATATATGATCCATTGTTGATCTGCACACAGCTGTTGTCACGAACGTCGCACTCGCTTACGTCACTGTCATGAGACATTCTCGCCAAAAAAAAAAAAAATCAAAAAAAAAATCACGGGTTTAGTAACAAGGTAACGCAGCGTTTCTACGGGAAAGTAACGGTAATCTAATTACCAAGTAACCCGTTACTGCCCATCTCTGCTCAGGAATTCCTTTCTGGCAAAAATGAACTGTAGTAGTCCTTAATCCAAGACTAGCATGGGGGTTGCAAGCCAATCTCACTGGCTCTCCAGCCCGAGGCACCGTCCCAGCATCCTTATGCTGCTCCTGTTTAACTGCAGATAGTCTTTCCATACAAGAGTTCAAACTTTTGATTGCCTTGCCTTAGGCAAGGATTATACGACTTTGTAGTTTATTTTGTGGGCTTTTTTGCTGCGAATATCCTCTTTCTGTTAGCCTGAGGGGTATGAATGGCAGTACCAAAATATGATTTTGTTCCATCAGATCTCCAAGCTGGAAGAAAGGCTACAGGCACCAGTGTTGGAAAATGGAGAGAACTTCTCTGTTGGTGAGAGACAACTGATGTGTATGGCTAGGGCTCTACTCCGTAACTCCAAGGTGTGTACACACATAACACCTTCTTGATGATACTAAATTTAATTTGCAAATACAGTTTATTGGCTGGGATACTGCTGCCACATTAGCTTGTGATGCCTCTACCAATATTTCCATTAATTATTTACCATTGCGTGCATTCAAAGTGTATAATAACATAAGCACTGTAAACATTTTTGTATTTTATGACACTTTTGCCATCCACCGCTTTCTTCTTTCTAACCACCATTACGCTGGTTATTTTTTGGCAGATTATTCTTTTAGACGAAGCCACAGCATCCATCGATTCAGAAACAGATGCTCTCATTCAAAACACCATCAAAGAGGCCTTTAAAGACTGCACCATGCTCACCATAGCGCATCGCATCAACACTGTTATGCATGCAGATCGTATTCTGGTCATGGACAATGGACAGGTACCCAAACCCCCCCCAAAAAAAAACAAAAACAAAAAAAAAACCAACCCACAAATGAACACAAATCAAAGATGATTACACAATCTTTAACTTAAACTCACTAAGTGTTCTGTTCGACAGGTGGCAGAATTAGACCATCCAGATGTGCTGAAGCAACGGCCAGACTCTCTGTTCTCATCACTCCTGACAGCTGCTAATACAGTAAACTCCTGAACAGAAGGACAACCAAAAAACTGCTGCATAGTAGTCACTGGGCATGTTCATAACAGTTATCCATATACACAGCCATATCGAAGTCTGTACTGTGATACTACACTCTTTTCTGGTGTGCTTGTATGAGATGTAACTGAGCAGCAGAGATGGAAACTGATAACAGTGCAGGAAAGACAACATAACTATTTACAAAGTTCAAAAACTATGCATTTATCTCTCCTGTCTGCTGATACAAAACAATGAGCACTGTACTTTACTGGGTTTCTCTTCATATTTCGAATGAGATGACTTCTTATGCACGTTATAGTTTAATTATGTTATGTATTTGCCAAGTCTTTCTTTGCTGCTATTAAATGTAATTTAAATCCTGTTTTTTTGTGTGACATTTAAAAAAAAAAAAAAACCATGGTAAATTTCATAGTGTAGGTATATACAGATGACCCTGATAAGATCTGTGCTAATAAATTACTTAAATTTGTGTTTCAGTATTAATTGGTATTTTAAAAAAAGAAATTATATATACAGCGAGATTACCTTTATTTTAAACAGGTTGTGGGGCTATGAGGGCACCAGCAACCCTATGCTGGATATGCAGTTAACAAACGTATGGATGAATTGGGGTTACAAGTGTATCTATATGCTGCCACCTGCTGGCTGCATCCTGCTGCATGTCACCAAAGCTGCTGCCCAAAACTCAGCAAATGTAACTAAATAAATTGTAGTTTTGTTTCATGAGTGACAGTTGGTGACATAGGACAGTTAAATAATAAAGCCAACAAATCTCTTATCAGCAGTGTATTTCCAAAGCAGCTGGAAAGAATATATTCTAGGAAGAAATCACGGCTTTCACTGGAGATTTTACAGCATTAACACCACCTGTAGGTGCTGTGAGGAGAGCTAGCATGCTTAACCTTTCAATGTAAATCTATGCCAAATATCTTTATATTAAAAACAAAACAACAATTTCAGATGTTTTACTCCAACTAGTAAATCTAATGTTAGCGATTTTGTTCTTTTTTAACTTCTAAGGCTCGGGATTAAAAGGTGAGGTGGTGGAGGAGACAACACATATACAGGGCACATGACAAAAGAAAAGCAAGCAATTTATCATTGTTAGTGGTTTACAAAACAAATGAAAAACTCAAAGATGTCACAACAAATAAAAATCTGCTAGCGCTAGCATAAATAAAACTCAGTTATTGGCTGAGTGACAGGTCCCGACCTCTTAGTTCCACCCTTCACACCATCTGATCCTATTGGCTGAGTTCTGAGTCCTATAGCCAATGGATGCACTCCAGGGCATATATAAGCTGACTTTGTAATTGGTTTTAAGAATGTTGGGTGCTTTTGTGTATGCTGCTCTTCTTAGTTTGATCATTGTATTGGGGGATACAATGATTGTCATTCACGAATCCTCATATTTACTAAATACTTTGTGTGTGTTTCAATAAGGAACCCAAATGACAGTTATTTACTTGCATTTCTGAACAGAAAAATAAAAATGTTTTAGTGGTCAAATTTTATGCTTGACTCATTTCAGACTTCTCAAACAAGTCCAGTCTGCCAGCCCACATTTTGGTAAACAAATCTTTTTAGCCACCACCGCGTCACTGAATGTTTACATTTGATTTAGTGCAGTTGTCCATTAACTGGTGGAATAAATTAAGATGCTATGCAATAACAGATGCATGCAAAAACAAGCAATAGGCTAAAAGCTAATAAGATGGGGATGTGTTTAACTCTTAAATTATGAATAATTTAACTCAACATTTTGTCAGCAACATTAGAATATAACTGCAGTAAGTTGGCAAAACATGGTTTTACAGTTTGTTACAACATTTTATTTACTGTAGATTTTTTAAAAACACAACACATTATAGATACACAATTATAGATTTAAACTTTAAAGACAAAGACAATAAAATAATTAACATTTTTAAATATACAGAATAGTCATTAAAATAGTAATCTAAATACATGTGCCTACTCCACAGATGTTCTTTGGTTTCAAGATTTACTTTGTTTCACAAATTTACAGTGTTTGAAGCAGTCAGCAGTAATGAGAACATAGAGAATGGCTTTTGCTTCAGTGTATTTGGATCATCCAACTCTGCCACCTGTCATATGGAGCAATTAGTAAGCATAAGATGACACAACATTAATCTGTGCATATTTGGGGTTGTTACCTGTCCATTGTCCATGACCAGAATACGATCTGCTTGCATCACAGTGCTGAGCCGATGAGCTATTGTGAGCATAGTGCTATTACGTAAGGCTTCTTGGATGGTGTTTTGGATCAGAGCATCTGTCTCTGCATCTATGGAGGCAGTGGCTTCATCCAAAAGAATGATCTGCTCAAGAAGAGGACAGACCATTAGTATAAGCAAAAACAGTTTTAAAGGAGGACAGCATGTCACAATACATAAAACGCCCATACTTTCTAAATACAAATGTGGCGATTAGCAATCTCATACAAATGAGACATTATAGAATAGTTTGAAGAACAGGTCCATAATAATCATAACCCTTAACCAATTTCAATTTGGCCTCTCATTCATTCACGGTCATGGGGCCCCATGAATTCGCGCCCTGGCTCAGACAGTCTCGGTCATCGTGTCCTTGGGCAAGACACTTCACCCGTTGCCTACTGGCGGTGGTCAGAGGGCCTGGGGGCGGCAGTGTCCGGCAGCCTCGCCTCTGTCAGTGCGCCCCAGGGCAGCTATGGCTACAGTGTAGCTTGCCATCACCAGTGTGTGAATGGCTGGATGACTGGATGTGGTGTAAAGCGCTTTGGGGTCCTTAGGGACTAAGTAAAGCGCTATACAAATACAGGCCATTTACCATTCTCATTCACCTCTGGGCCATTTTGAGCATGGCTGCTAATTTTGGATTTCTGAAAAGTGCCATGATAAATCGGAGAAGTCCGTAAAAATAATTTTCCTTTGTCTTAAGTTATTTTTTTGTATTTTTTCCAAAGGAAGTTGGCCACAGGGTGGCAGACCTCTCCAACAGATACCGAGTGAAGATTATGTTGCAGTGGCCATGTAAAGAGGAAAAAACAGAAAGAAAATACTGGTGACTGCCAGTGGTGCCACTCAGCCTCCTAGCAGACACACCTATGTACAAATTTCAAAATCTTACATCACCTTGTTCTCAAGTTTTTATATTTATTTTTAGAAATTTGAGATTCAACTCCGTCTGAGATTTTTAGTAAATATGTCTATGGTCTCAATTTGACGCTCCTACGTCACCTCAATCTCAAGTAGCATTCAAACTTAGGTGTACATCCTGTCCATCTGCCCTGCGGCGTGACAACAATACCCTACCAGGCTTTTAAGGCTTAGGGGTACTTCTGAAGAGGAATCGAAACATTGTACTGATGACCTTCAAGGGGAAAAAATTTAAATCAGGACAGATTTGCGATGTTTAAGGACAGTGCAGAGCATATTGACAGAGAGTCACAGGAAATTGCTTTGACTGGCATCAGTGAATGCAGTATGTGGCAGCATTGTCCCAGCCAGGTGACAAATCATCAAGCCCCCCCCCCCCCAAAAAAGTGCACTCTGACCTTGGAGTTACGGAGTAAAGCTCTAGCCATACAGATCAGCTGTCTCTGGCCTACAGAGAAGTTTTCTCCATTCTCCATAACATGTGCTTCAAGCTTCCCCTCCAGCTTTGAGATCTGAGGAAACAAATCACATTACAGCTCCACTCCACTATCCTAATTCATAATGTATACAAAGAGCAGAGAGAAAAAAAAAAAAAAAAAAAAAAAAAAAAAAAAAAAGGGGCTGTATAGGAATTTTAAATGTACCAACTTTTACGTTGCACTCAAAACATACCGAGTCCTTCATGTAGCTCTTCTCGAGCGCTGCCCAGATCTCCTCATCAGTGTATTTATTAAAGGGGTCCAAGTTGTACCTGCAGGGATGGGGGTCATTAGCCAGTTACTGATCCACAGTGGTCAGACCAATGTGAGATTTATGGGTTGGCCAAGGTTACCTGACTGTACCAACAAATAGCACAGGGTCCTGAGGAATCACAGACAATTTGCTACGCAGGTCTTGCAGGCCAATGGACATGATGTCCACCCCATCTATCAGTATGGTTCCTGCTGCAGGCTCCACAAGTCTAAATAGAGCTACTCCTAAAGACGATTTTCCTACAGATGCAAACCGCAGATTAGAGTAGCTGAATTAACCTAAAACTGTTAAAATTTACATTAAAATGTGCTACATAAAATATCATTTGAAATCAGGAATATGGGAGGATTTAGAGTCAATCACTAAACTTTCAGCACAACCAGGTGTAGGCAGGGGTGCCATCTATCTTAGAGGGTTGGGGTGGGGGAATAATAGCAACAATAACAATTAAAAAAGAAAAAGCCCTCCTACCATTAACTAATCTTCTTTATTAACCAATCTTCATCTTAATTATAATCAGCTTATCTTTATTAACAAGTTATTTACCACGGGCCTTTAATGTGGCAGTAATTAAACCATTATTTAAAAGCCATCACTTGACCCAGCTATCTTAGAGACTGGCCTATAATTGGCTAACTTTATCTCAAAAATTCTTCAAAGTAAAACAGCAGTTTCAGTCAACTTTCAGAGCTCACAGTACAGAAATGGAACAAGTGAAGGTGGCAAATGGTTTTCTTCTGGCCTCTTACAGTCAACTCTTTGTTCTTGACTTGTTAGACCTCAGCGTTTGATGCTGATACAGTTCCACAGAGTTCTGTGTTGGGACCATTTCTGTTTACATTATAAGAGTTTCCCTTAGGCAGTGTTATTATAAATAGCATACATTTTCATTGCCTGATGATACCCAGACTTATGAAGCCTGTTGACACACACCAAGTAATTAAACTACAGGAATCTCTTAAAGAAATTAAAACCTGGATCACCTCTAATTCCCTCTAAGTGCTTCTAAATTCAGAAAAAACTGAGGTTGTTGTGCACTGCCTTATCTTAGAAACATGGCCAGATACCCTGGATGACATTACCTTGGCCTCCAGTAACATTGAGGATATTAAACAAACTATGTAGGACTGCCTTCCTATATTTGCACACTCTAAGATTAAATTGTCTGTCTCAGAGTGATGTTGAAAAACTAGTTCATGTATTTATCATCATTTCTAGGGTGTATTGTTGTAAATCATCATCACCCAAAGACTAGATGAAATCAACAAGAGAAACAGCTACTGAACCCAGAGCCTTACCAGAGCCAGTCCTTCCCACGATCCCCAGCTTCTCTCCAGGTTGAATGTGGAAATCAATACCGTTCAGCACAATTGGTGCATTCTCTCTGTACCTCATCTTATAGTCTACGAAGGTGATGCCCCCACTGCTAGGCCAGTCCTGTGGGATCTGAGTCTCCTTAACATGCCTGGGAGCCTCAGACCTACAATCCTGCAAACACAATTAAAAGTTTACAGGGATCAAGCAGATGGGTGTGTAGCATGTTTAATGAACTCTGGCCTTGGTCTCAGCAAAACAATGACAGGTGAATGATTTCAGGACATGAGTCTGACCGTGACATATTCCTGGAGCCGTTTCGCTGAGTCGAATCTTGCTTCCGCTTCTATCGAGAGTCTGGCTACATATTGAAGCATGCCTGTCAACTGAAAATAAGTTTGAAAATTATGTAAATCCATGTCTGAAAAGCAAAATGAACATGGCTTCATGTGCTGTCCAAATGTACCTGCAAGGAATAGGATATCGCGAGGCCTTTCAAGGATGGACTGATTAAGTCATTACTGCTGAGCACTACAAAGAGAGCCACAAACAGCGTCGTAGTAGCAGCCATTAATTCCAGGCAGAAGGCGAATGCACGTGTGCCAGCATTAAACATGAAAAGGTATTTGGAGTTGATATCAGTCAAGATATTGAACCTGTAATATAAAACAGGAGTTTTTGAACATCCCACTGTCCACAGTCACCCCGCCCCAAAGAAACATACAATTTACAATGTGTTGTATCAAAAACATTGCAAAAGCAAGAGGTGATAGCCTAGTAACAAATTTCAGAAACTTACTGTTCTATAAGGCTGTCTCTTCTACTATAGGCATGGATGGTGCTGAGGCCATGCAAAGTTGAGGTGGTTAGAGAAAACCATGGAGAGCGACTGATGTTTTCTAGATTCTTCATATGACGTATACTCCTCTGGAATACACTGCAGAGAAGGCACAGATATATAGTACCTTAGAGGACCTGTTACTTTCAGTAACTGTGTTTTATAGATTTAACCAGCATAAACTCACAAGACAGTGAAGGCAAGAAAAGCTGCCATAATAACTCCAACTACAAGCATGGCGGGGAAAATAACTGAGATGACAACAACTGTGGATGCGACGAGTAGAGAACACTGTAAGAAAGAGTCCATGACAAGAGGAAGGACAGTTTCCACTTCGTCTTGATCTTTAGAGAAACGATTTAGAAGTCGGCCCGTTGGAGTTGTGTCAAAGAAACTCATTGGACTATCAATAATCTGCAATAGGAAAACAAACAGTTCATCTGTAGCTAGTAAACGTTCCCAGTTTTGGATTCAATACATTTGTGATAAGTAAACCCTTATCCATATTTAAAATGACCATGTGTAATGGTGACTAGCAGAGATTTCTATGGTGCTGAGAATTCACAGTACCTTTTTGAACAGCATGTCATGGAATTTGCAGGAGGCCTTCAAGGTGAAATAAGTGTAGATTATGGATTTCACAATGGAAAGTACAACAATGACAACCACTGTTGCAGCATAAATAACCTGGTAGAAGTGAAGGTGTGGATTTTGAGAGATTTCTCCCTGGACTGCAGTTGTGTTACTTGGAAATAAAAACATAAATTAATAAAAAAAAAAGAAAAGTTAGTGAAGTCAGACAAAGTCATTGTATACATAAACGAATGATTAAATATCATTTCCTAAAACTAGAAATAAGCAGAATTTGAGGAGTCAGAAACAGTTTTTCGCTTGCTACATCTGCCAGGCTTGGTCTATAATGTGTGGCTCTCTGGATTTTAAATCACGATACTTCTCACTCAAGTTCTTGACACTCAGACATACAAAGTTACCACAGGATTTCATCTCCTGCTTTGTGAGCATCAAATACTTTTCCTCAAGATTTCCTCAAACTGATTTCTTATGGTTCAGGGATGACGCTTACTCAAGTGACAGCTAAAACCCTTGCTGAAATTTTTATACTGTCTTCAAGCTGAAAGATGACCCTCAGGCATTCCAAGTATTTTAAGGGGCAAGTGCATGGAAACTAGAGTGAGTGTGTAATGACCAAAACTAAGTGACAAAACCAACAGAAGATCAAAACATCAAGTTGTTTCAATGAGAAATGCTTGGACTAGGCCAAAATAAACATTTTCAAAAATAACTGGCAATTAGAAAAAAACTTGATTGCTGATGAAGCCAACCTTGAGATATTGGCAGTAGGCGGAGCGTGTAAGTGTGGACCAGCAGGAGAGCTAGAAGACCAATGAGTGATGATGTAACATCAACTCAGCTTTACGTAGCAAAATGTAAATACAGAAAGAGTTTATCTTGCACAACAGCCACAAAAAAGGCATGACTTCTTACCCTCTTGTGAGTTGAAGGCTCACAGAGAACTATTTCAACGTGTGTGACAGTGATAAGGAATGAAATAATTCTCACCCCATCACCACTTGCCATCCAGAAGCTAAACCACCAATTGCTGAAGACTGTGGATCCTGCCAACAGGAACATATTCAGGAGGATAATGAAAGAAACTGTGTAGCCTGTAACAACAATGAGCAGTTTATGCATCACAAGTTTGGCTGTGCATTATTGCTCATAATAATGTATCCACAAGCATATGCAGCATTGGGAAACAGGAGTTAGAGGAAGAATTTACAGTGTACTCAGTGGTAGTTATATGGGGGGGAAAACAAATGAAAGCTACTGATCAATATGTTATGTTGACTTGAATTGTAATATCTGACAGATTCTCTTGTTTGCTCTAAACAACCAAAGTCTGGAGTAGTTCTTGGTCTTACAAATCTATTCTTGTGAAGCGTTGTAGTGGTTTATCTTCTTTGAGACTACAATTCTTGACTTTGCCAAGTTGTTAACAAGTGTCTTGGCAGTTGTGAGGGGATGTTTAGAACCCAGTATATATAGCCAAGCTTGTTTGACACCAGTAAAAAGGCTAATATCGAATCCTTTATTTTAAAGTTAAAAATAAATTAAAAACTGACATGCAATAACTTTCTGTGCATTGATAAAAAAATTTATAAACAAAAAAACATTTAAAATGAAAATATGCAATTTAATTTCATACATAACCCCAACATTCCATGTGTGAATAACAGACCTCCAAGTGCCTGGGAGTATGTGCAGTATGTTCTCCAGGAGATGGCACCTTTTGTAGAGGACTCCTGACTCACTAGCTGATTACCAGCTGGGACAGCGGCTTAAAAAACAAAAACAAACAAACAAACAAACAAACAAACAAATCATTATAGAATGAAAAAGAAAAATACATTTTTATTAGCTGACATCTAATATCTGAATTAATTTTTTTTTTTTTTTTTTTTTTTTTTTTAAACTTGCTCTTCAGGGAAAATATGTCAGTTTAAATCAAATGTTTTTCTTCCATGTTTTCACACCAGGATTCTCAGTGCCAGTGCTTGCACAATGTCTGAGGTCAATCTCTTCCAACTGGCCATCAATAAATGATGCTAGTGCCATGTCCCCAGCTTTCTTTTTCTTGGCCTGACAGAAGAAAAATAAAAATAAATAAATATATATCAAGGACAGTCTTACAGCTCAGTCTGGATAAGCTTAAAACATTGACACTTATGGAACGCACACTTTGTTTTACAGTCAATTTTGTTTCAATAATAAGGACAGTAATAGAACCATGATACATGACACCCTTACTTTGGACTCTTCCATCTGGTAGGTACTGATGAGCTGAGTATAGCGTCCATTGGCTCTCATCAGATCCCTGTGGTTTCCAGACTCCCATACTGTTCCATTGTCCAGAACCAGGATCTCATCACAGAACTCCAAATACTAAAAGCCACAAGGAAGAACAAATTATCAAAACCAGCTCAACTCTGGTTAGAGCTCTAAACAGTTGTGTGCGTTACTGGCATGTGACAAATCCTTATTCTTTGGAAAAATTGCACCTTACAACTCATGAGCAAAATATGTAGGTTTTCCATACGTACTCAGGTATGTTTCTTTAAACCAGAGCTTCCCAAAGTGTGGGGCCCGCCCAATATGAAAAGGGGGGGGGGGGGGGGGGGGGGGGGGAGAAGAAGAAAAGAACGTTTGGACGCTGCTAGCATAATGGACAGGTTTTTTGACGGGGCTCTCACACAAACGCAAAGCAGGAGATGAAGCATCGCTGAATATGTTTCCAAACCAACTTCATTCTAAGCCAAAGACTAGAAAATATGGTGAAGCATATCTGCCATTTGGTTTCACCTGCACAAGTGCCGAGGTAGCTCTCCCCTGCAGAATTGGTTTTCCCTGCGTCGGGAGGATGCGCTGGGCTCTCCAAATCAGTATCCCACATTCTTGATTTTTTAGTTCACAAACGCTTGCTGTAATGACTAACTACTCCTGACATTTTGGAGATGTTAGCTCTTTATACAGTAAAGTTACAGCGGGATACAAATAATATCAGGTCGTTCCTGCCACGATTTGTTCTCTCGGTTCAAATCACAGACAAACAGTATCCCACAGTTGTTTATGTTTTTGAACCCATTTTGCACAAAGAGGCATCTTTTGAAAAATGTATTGATAGCAATGTTGAATATTATTACACAGGAAATGGAAACAAGTAAAATAATTACACCGTGACGCCTCTGCCTTTCTAAATGGAGGGACATGTAACTGCAGTAACCTGCAGATAGTCAGATTAAGAGTATTTTGTCTCTATCTTCCATTCTGCAATTCATCTCATGTAAACAATAACGTGGCGCACAGCGTGACGTGAAAAAAGGCACACACCTTTGACGTTGTGTGACAAACTCCGTATTCCTCGTTCACATGTAAACGCAAAAAAGGAGTTTAAAAAAAAAAAATCTCAGTTTTCAGTGATTCGAAACCCCGTTTACGTGTGGACAAAAGGCCCAAACGTCCAGAAACAGCTGTGTTTTCAAAAATACCCATGTAGGTGTGGACGTAGCGTACAAGAGTTCGTAGTTTATTTCATTGCTACCTGTAATTTATTGCAGATTACTTGCATTTGCTTAATCGTTTACTAAATGTTTGAGGTGTGAAATAAACCGCAATGAGTTTGGAAACAAAATATGAGTGTGTGTGTGGTTGGAGGATGTGTTTTGTGCGGGGGGGAGCAACAGTTTTCTTGTAAAACAAAGGGGGGCCCAGTAAAAAAAGTTTGGGAACCACCGCTTTAAACGATAGCCTGTTTTCCCATTAGTACCTACTCTGATTGACTTGCAGTTTTCAGTTAGGCCACAGTACCTGCTTGCCTGGGGTTAATCCGAGCAGGTACTAAAATGTGACGTTGTAACACTGCATGGGACCGATTGGCTGGCAGCAGCAGGTATATTTCTTGCCTTGACATCCATCTTTTTTGTAGCATTCGTGTTGTATATTAATTACGTCACCGGACACTTAGACGCTTTGGTATGACGACAACCACGCATGTAGTACCAGATTACAATGGAAAACCAGTCGATCCGAGGCGAGTCAGAGTAGGTACTAAAGGAAAAGGTGCTTTTGAGCCCAGACAGCCCAGTCTCCACTACATAATAATTGAATACGTTTTCCTACCTGGAGCTCATGTGTAACCAGTATGATGGATTTTCCTCTCAGCTCTTTCTTTATACATTCTTCAAAAATGTGTTTCCCCACATAAGCATCAACAGCAGATAGTGGGTCATCAAGGAGGAAAATGTCCCTGTTGGAATAGACCGCTCTTGCCAGGCTGATTCTCTGCTTCTGTCCCCCTGATAGATTTAGACCCCGCTCTCCAATCTGCCCACAAAAAGGATATTTATAATATTGTGAACTTTTGATTAATACTAAATTACAATTTAATCCTTCCACTTTATTGTAGCATCAATTTGCAAGCTTGAGTTACATCTTAAGTGAGTGGGGTAAATAAATACACTTAAAAACCCCTGTGTCGGTGTGTGACACTCCCCTGTTGGTCTGGAAAGCACTCACTTCAGCTTGGTCACCATATTGCAGGATGCTTAGGTCAGCTCTGAGGCTACAGACATCCACAACTCTGTCATATCTGTTGGGGAGCAGTACAAGGCAACAAACTGGTTAATACTATAGCGAAGTATATTTTAATAGGATGGGAGCTAGTCATTTATTCAGCCAATTATAACTTGTGGGTGACTGCGGCTCAGTTAGCAGAACAAGAGGTCACTGAATTTAACCCGAGTTCCTCGACATACTGAACCCCCAGTTGCCCTTGATGCATCCATCAAAGGGTGAGTGAGTGTCTAAGAATGTTATAAATGAAGAATGTTAAACACTGTATAAATGTGTATGTGATTGGATGTGTGCAAGAACAAAATGCTTTGTGTGCTCACCTGAATAGAAAGGTGTTACAGAAGTTCCAGTCCAATTTACCAATTGCTGACAGTAAAGCATGACCAAAATCATTTAACAAGAAAAAGGATTTCATGCAAAATGTTGCATTAAATGTATCAATTCAGTTATGCTATTTTGACATATTTTAAAGGACTGCTATTAATTTATTCCTAAACCGTTTTCCCCTCAGCAGCAGTTTATGGAAATCTGATTTTGAAACAAAGTGAATTGATAAAGTTTACAGCAAACACTGGTTCCTAGCCAAGCTTTTTACCATCTCTGGCAGTAGAGGTGATACTGTCAGAAAACCAAGAGGACCTCATTTTGGTTGACTATGAACCTTCCACCAACATTTCAGAATGTCAAAATAAAAACCGTTAGAAGTTCCATGGAAGGTATCCAACTTGATTTTTTTGTGCCTCCCAGGGCAGATTGGGGACATGCAGTTCGAAAGGGCCTCGATTAACTATACAGACAAAGTGGTGGTTGACAAGGAGGAGATGGCAGCCATAAATGCAAGAAGATGGATTTAACTTACCTGGCCTGATCAAAAGGTTCCCCCATGAGAATATTTTCTCGAACAGTTCCATGAAAAATCCAGGCCTGCTGGCAAACGTACGCAAATGTCCCATCAGCTGTGATGGAGCCCTGAAGAAGGTACATCTAAAAGGAAAGTGAGCAGGCCAAAAAACTAATGTCACTGTAATGTAAAGTTAGAAATAGTAAAAACATAATGTGAATAAATGCAGACAGATACAAAACAATAGAGCATACAAAAGAAACAAACCTGCTCCAAAATGCTGCAAATCAGTGACGTCTTTCCGCTACCCACATTCCCGCAAACACCAAGCAGTTTTCCCTTCAGGAAATATCACAGAGATAATCATTTCATATCCAGCAGAGTCTTGATAACTTCAGTTATTATTTGATCACACCTTGGGTAGTGTAAAAGAGATGTTTCTGAGGGTTGGTAAGGTCTCAACATTTTCATTCGGAGAAGGCACGTCCATATTGTGTTCCGTCACCTCATTAGCTGCTCTGGGCGGTGACTCTGACTGGCTGCGTTTGGTCCATGAAAGTGTAGCATTTCTCATCACTACAGCAGAATTACTGCCTGCTATCTGCGTCAGGTAAGGCTCAGGATTCTGGATGAGTAAGATTTTCTGAAACAGTCACAGTGCATTTACATCATTCAGGTTTTTACCAATTTTGCTTTTCAGATTTCTAAGATCCATGGCAGTAACAACTTTAACAAAACTAAAAAGATTATGAATTAAAATACTGTACTGCAAGTCCTAAAAGCATCATGATTAATACAAATCCAGCTTGTGATTAGCAGCATGGCCTTTTTCACTGGTTTGTAGAGGACAAGATTTGGAGAGGTTCACATGAGTGTGTGGTGAGTGTGAGACTACTCCTTTACATTTAGTCTGGCATCAATGCAAAAGGAATAATGAAATTCAAAAAGGACACATAATAACTATGACTCTACCTAAAGTCTGTGGCACAGGTATGATAGGGAAACAAGTCAAAGTGTGGCCACAGGGTAGGTCTGCAGGGCAAACTTAGCTAGGTCAGCAGTTATCTTATCCTATAGACAGGCATTCTACTCTTTTTTACAATGGTAAGCAACATTTTGATGTTTAGTGGTATTGTACCATCCCCTGATCTGACTGGATGAGCTCCATCAGGTCATCTTGACTGTGTCTACATGTCTAAATGAGTTGCTGCCTTGCAAAACCAATTATTTTCCATAGAAATACTTCACAAGTAAGCAATGCTTAAATTGTACTTATATTACAATAGTGATAAAAGTGTGTCTGAAGGTTCTCAGTCATCGTAGTCTAAGGAGCTTGGAAAGAAAAGTGTCTGGACTTCTTTAAGTTGCTTGAACGCGTTTCACCTCTCATCCGAGAAGCTTCTGGGCCAGGATGTAAAGGACAAAGGTCACTCTTTCAAGGATGCCAATGTTCACATTTTGGAAATAGAGGACAGATGTTTGAAAGAGGAGTGAAAGAAGCCATCTATGTCCACTGTGCCCACTCACATCCTGGGCTATTTGACCTCAGGAAATCCCATGATAGGGTGGGGCTAGGTTTCACAATGAGCTCACCCGAAAGGTTCTCAGTCATCCAGGTCATCGTAGTCAAAGGAGCTTGCAAAGAAAAGCGTCTGGACTTCTTTAAGTTCTTTAAGTGGTAGAAACGTTTCGTCACTCATCCAAGTGACTTCTTCAGTCTCAGCTGACTGCAGGTTTCCCCAAGTTTATAAACAGTACATTTGCATAATGACTGAAACCAGCCCACTGAAGGAACAATGGGCTGGGAGGTCAGTTCCTTAATCTTAATTATGCAAATTCTCATGACCATTGATCATTTGGGGGTTTCATTATCCCTCTTGGGGGGGACACTCCCACAGGGCTTAAATCTGGGACTCTCCACCATTTGACCCTAGAACTGAAGAAGCTTCTCAGATGAGAGGTGAAACGTGTTCAAGAAGTCCAGACACTTTTCTTTCCAAGCTCCTTAGACAGTGATAAAAGTGTATTAAAGAAAACTTAATAATGAACAGAAAGACCATAACAAGTGGAAACGCTACTACTACTACTACTACTACTACTACTACTACTAGAACCAAAAAGAAGAGCTTACCCTAAGTTGTTTTAGTGACACAAAAGCATCAGTGAGGGCCTTCACAGCAATCGGCATGAGAGCAAAGGTGAACCTCATGGAGGTGAAGATGGCAACAACAGTAAAAGCCTGGGAAGAAAATATTGCACTATAATCTCACAACACAACAATCCTCAATTTATATGTTAGACCTTTTCTGTCAGTAGACCAAGCCTTCTTACAAAATTCTCGCAGTTTTCTTCTCAGTTCATCTCTACTCACAACTTCTCCAAATCACCGAGTGGAAATGCTAACAGAGGCTGTGTTACTGCATAATATTGTTACAGAGCTGTGCTACTACTTACATCAGATGTTTTCAGTGGTAACCCCAACAAAGTGTGGATGAGAAAGGTGAAAACAGTGGCAATGGTGCTGATGGCCATGGTCAAGCTGCCATTAATAATCTGGATTTCAAGGATCTTCTGTACTAGTTTCTTTTCAAGTTTCCTCAACTCTGTAAGAAAGAAAGTTTGTTTGCCTAGTCTGTTACTTTCATCATTCTTTGTAGACGCACCCTAACACACATCCATAGCACTCAAACATTTCACATCATCTCTTTTGCATCTAGTAACAAGATTACATGCCTGATTTTGTATCTAAACAAATGGGAGTCTATAAATAATGCGTGTGATATGTGATATTACTAGATAAATGGAAAGTGCTGCCAAATGGGAAACAGCTGCTCGATTTACCTGCAATTTTCATCTCAAAAGATTCTTGCCAGGCGTACATCTTGATTAGCTTAATGCTGTTGAGAATCTCAGTCATTGTATGAACACGTTTGTCTTTTATTACCATTGCTTTTGTCTTGAATACATTTGTGAGATATGCCAAGATACTAGAAAAGAAGAAGAAAAAATGATTAGTCCCCTGATTGCCAAGATTCCAAAAGTAGAAGGTAAGGGTATTCCTCAATGATGACTTAGACCTCACAGCACAGGTTTCAGCATATTAAACTACATGCCCAATATTACGTTTGGGCAAATTCTTTCATAGTTTATCTACATTACAACTTTACATTACAACATTGACTGTAATGCTTACCTCAATCAGAGCCCTTTTTGTATTTATCTATCTCACTTTATTAACTTCATGTACATACCTCAATGGGAATACAGATGACGTAGATGAGGACTCCAATAATTGCAGTGTAGCCCAGAATGTTCCAGGCATAACAAATGCCCGCAACAAAGAGTACAGGGGTGGACATCACAAAGCTCCCATTCACAACTGCCTCAAAAACATTGTGTCCAACATTTGTCAAAATATTAAGAATCTAGATGAAAGAAAAATGAGAAAACGAAACCTTATATTTCACCTGTTTTTCATAATACACCAAATGTGAGAAGATTTACTGAAAAAGTATCTTATTGTCTCATGCATTTCTTTAGGATGAAACAAATCTTAATATTAGACAAAAATTACCAAAATAAATACAAAGTGTTTAAATTGTGCTTTAATTTATGAAGGTGAAGTTCTCCAAATGTACCTGTCCATACATGAAAAAGTGATAGGTGGTTATGCCACCCTTGAGAGGAAGAACCGCAATCAAACATTTGTAATAATGGGAATGAGTCCCGAAGGAATTTTGGCCCACTCTTCTCAACAGAATTGTTGTAATTCAGCCACATTGGAGGATTTTCAAGCATGAAAGACTTATTGATGCCAACACATCTCAGTTAGATTCAAGTCTAGACTTTGACTAGGCCACTTTTCACAGCAGTGCAGGTAAAGTGAATTCTCTGTGTGTGTAAACCAGTCTTTACCTCTCCGTTTGACATGTCGCCAAGTACTCGCAGAGATGTGACTTTCTGGAAGCCCAAAGAGCATAAGGCACCTTTCAGTCTGATGGCCGTACGCAGTGTTAATGCCCACTGCAAGGATATCATGGAAGTTTTGAGAAACTCTGTGGTGAACAAAGCAAAGGCCAAACCAACACCACTGGTTTCTCCTGGGTCGCAAACGTAGTCTAAGATCTTATAAACGACGACCGCCTGAAGGGACAGACAAAATGCTTGATACACTTCAGAGAGTAGAAATTCTAAAAAAGCGATTAGAAACTGTTTACAGAGTATGAACCACTATTTCTTGAAGTCAAATTTGATTTATAATAAATAAAACATTTAGGCAAACATCAGAACGTCACAAAGTCTGAAAATACAGATGACGACAACTCACCGGCCCCAAAAAGGCCGCCACCATGGCAAGAATGGAAACGAGGGCGGACAGAATCAGTCTAGTTCTTTGAAAACGAAGAGTCACCCGAATCAGTGAGGCATTCTCCAAGCCTCTCCTTGCCACTTCTTCATTCCATAGCCTCTGGAGCCTGCAAAACACTCACAATCAAATCATGTACACTAAAAATTGTCTAGCATTTAATTTTGACAAGTCAGCCTCATTCCTTTGACTTATCTTCAAGGTGCAAATTTCAGCAGCTACATTAATGGTGCGTCATGTCCCAAGCAGACCTACTTTGGGTTTCTGTCTATTCCTCTTAATATTTCTAATAAAGCCCTTTCTTTGTTCCTCGTTGTGCATCATCTCTTTCGTCTGAGGTTTCTTTCCCACATGCTTGTTTACCCCCTTTGTAAACAAAATGCATCATCCATTGAAATGTTAGATTCTGCGAATGCCTTAAACAACAACCGAAAAATGTGAATCTGCAAAGAGAGACCTTTTTGCGCTAATGTCTGCTACATCAAAAGGAGACAGGTGTAGGTCGGATGTATCCAGCCCATTCTTGAACATGGCCCACATTTTGGGGATCATCCACAGAAAGACTGAAGATGATATTAAACCTGCATTATCTACAGCGTGGGACCTGGACAAGACAAAAAAAGCAAAAGCAAATGAGTACTGTACAAGGAAGACATTCTATATCAAAGAAAGTAACTTATTTGGCAGACAGGTTACATTTAGCAATTTCTCTTTCATCAATGAAACTGACTCTGGTGAGGAACAGCGGAAGGGTATAAGGGTCTCCAAGCTCCGTCGGTATTTTCCAAATGGGCAAGGATGGGGTATTTCCCTGTTGTCATTATCTGTATCTTCTGAGGCAAGAGACACAGGTCCCAATTCTTCTCCCTAAAGAGGCAGAAAAACAAAGACAGACAGAAAGGTGTATAAGCTCAGTCCAAGTAACAAATCTGGAAACAAAATGAAAAAAAAGACATCTAAACTAACTAACAATTAATTGTACTTCCTAATTACAATTTTAGTAGATATGGAAACATGATCAGAAAACATAAAACTAACTACCTCGTCATGTCCTAAACAACCAAAATTAATCAAACTGACACAAGTGAAATTATTTAAACATTTTCCAAGCAGAGAAAAAAGTGAACACCTATTTTTATTTATACTACATGCAAATCAAACAGCTCTTCATCGTGTTATTACGCCATGCTCTCCTTTTCTTTGATTTAATTTTTGTCCCTTTATTTATTTATTCATTTCTTTATTTATTTAAATGCAAGCAGCCCTTCCCCGGCGACGTAAGCAAAACCCAGAGAACTGGGCTGCTCAGGTCGATGACACGTATCCCATACGGAAGCAGCCACTTACTGACTAACACTGCACAACAGAATTGTTAAAGTATTAATTTTAATTTCAATTCAGGTTAGATTTTTTTTTGTGCGCAACGCAGATTTTCTGTGCGCAGAGACCGTGCCAGCAGTGCGCAATTGCGCAGCTTAGAGGGAACATTACTGGTGTTTAGTTTTTGGTTTGTGTGAGTATGGCCCCATCTACATCGCTCAGCTCGGTGTTGTGCCAAAACACCGGGCCTGTTCTAAAAACAAAGCTCAGCGCTCCCAAAGCGTCTTGTCATTACGCGGCTTCACTAAAACCACCAACTTTCAGGAAGCTGGTTCACGACTAGGGATGGGTATCGTTTAGGTTTTAGCCGATACCGGTGCCAAATCGGTACTTTTGAAACGGTGCCGGTGCTTAAACGGTGCTCGAACCGGTGCTTAAAGAATGGAGAACACAAACTTTGTCCAAAAACCTCTCATGTTCAGCTGGTTTTTTTTGTAAAAATATAACAATGTTAGCCTTTTCTGCAGCTATGTGGCATATATGTAGGGTTGCCAACTCCCTGAAAAATAAATAAGGGACACCTCGTGGCCAGGGCCGGGCAACCCAGTTGTCTTCACCCTTCCCAGTGTGGTAGCTCTTTTTTTTGTGTGTGAAATTATTTTTTTAACCATTTGACTTGAATTTGATTTAAGCAGATGCATATTCTTTGTGATATGACCATATGGGAAACAAATGATCATTTAGCCATTTATTTTTAGCTCAAAATGACAACATTAACACAGTAAAACAGGTCTCTTTCTTAAACAGAAGCCTGTCATGCTTAACTTTTGAGAATATAAGTAAATCTTTCTTTAAAAGAACTCTGCCCTGCTTAACTTAAAATTATATAAATTAATAGAAAGCAATACAACAAAAATATTCTTGTAACAGTGCACATATAGTGCATTTAGTACAATTGGCTTCAGTTGAGGTATTATTTCAGCTTTTCTAATGCTAATCAGCTGCTCCTGTTTGTAAACCCGCTTGTTCCCATGATTACGCATCATAACTCATCATCATTATTAATCTATGTATTACTTTTATGTATTAGTGATCTATTTGTTGTAATCATCTATCCTTGCAGTTGTTTATTACACAAAATAAATTATATTATCACACTTCTGGCCACATAGCGCTGATATTCACTGCACATGCCCATATTAACCTTAACCAGAGGGTTTAAAAAATAAACCAGTGTTTACATACCATATCTGCTTCTGCCGTGGCCTGGTGGACAAAAAAATGGTTAAGGGTTCCCCGAGCTTTCACGCCCCTCATGTTCTTCATGTGCCCACCACTAGAAGCATCCATTGGAAAAAGTGCGCCGGCACACAGTGCAGTGCGCTTTATAGGTGTTATCGTGCATGTTCCCAGCCAGGTGTTTTCCTTTTCCCATTCCTCCCTGTATTTATTCTTATTGTATTCTAATTTTTGCGTCATAACTTTTGCACTGTCCACTTCCTGCTGTGACAAAACAAATTTCCCACGTGTGGGACTAATAAAGGTTATCTTATCTTATCTTTCGCAGCCTTTTTTTCTTTCTCTGGGCGAACAAACATTGCTGCTCTAATGCTGGGCTTACACTGTGCGATTTTTGGCCCATTTTGAGACGATTTATGAGTCGTGCGACCGATTTGGTGATCGGCCCGATTTTGGCCTTCATCGTGCATCGTGTAGTATACGTGGGGTAACGAGAAGCGATTAACACCTCGAGCAGCTCCCGATCATCAATCGCTCGTGAGCCGCTCACACTGCTCACGCGCAAACAGGTAAACGTCGGTGAAAAAGACGGTGCAGCTCGGCTGTGCAGCGTGTGATCTGGACACAAGCGATGGAGGCACAACTTGGAGAACTTTGGAAAGCTCATCCGAGTCTTTTCGATGTGGCCTCACAAAATGATCACGACCACAACAACCGTGAAAATAGTTGGATTTACACTGCTGCTTAATCACAGCTGCCTGATCAATGTTTTTCATTAGCAATTTAGCAAAGTTGATGGTGGTGTGCGTGTCTGTGTGAGTGAAAGACAGAGGGAGAGCGAGCGACAGATTTTCTGTTATAACCTTCATTTTATGGAGGCACAGTGTGAGCACTCAGGTCGCATCAGAGCATCGGGTGGTATAGTGTGAGACCCTGCATCGTGACCTACCAACTTCTAACCCCTGCGAGTCAATCGTGCAGTTTGAGCAGGAGCTGAATAACGTGACTGAAAAAATCGCACAGTGTCTGCCCAGCTTTAGATGTACTGTCGTCCGAGACTTGCACCGCAGTGTCGGCGTTTGTTTCCCTGTTGGCCATGCTTCTTGTTGTGGTCATCTGTTGTCTTCCGGTATTTTCTCCGTAAGCGACCTTTCCTCGACCAATGAGATGAGCGGTAATCTGAATTGTCATACTCGAATTGTCATAAGTGTGCTGTCAGCTCATTGGTCACAAAGCAGGAGAGGGGCTGGGAATTATGTTTTCAAACAAAGTGTTAATTCCATAAACATTTATAGACTACTTTTGATTCTCACTGGATTACGGGACAAAGTGCGTCCCTTATTAGCTCAATACGGGACGTGTACTTTTGTTTCTAAATACGGGACGATTCCGTTTTTTAAGGGACGGTTGGCAACCCTAATTAAATGTAACTTTATTAATCCCTCGGGAGGGGTCCTCTGGGGTTTTCACAAAGCTGAATAAACGTCAAACAGAAAACTGATTAAACAAAGTGTGAGACGGTGGAGAATTGACGCCAGCGCCCGGTTATATTTTAGACAGCAAGGAGCAGACGCAGTTTCACTCCACCGAGGGAGCTCGTGACGTACTACGCGGCTTTCTTTAGACCGCGAAGGCGGGTCCTCAGGTGGAAGCAGCCTCTGAATTTGGACACCCCCGCTGTTTCCGGCCAGCCAATAATAACGGTGACATTTAACGTATTTTGTCGAATAAATAAACACTGTAAAATATATTTGCCCCCCCCCAAACAGCCCTTTGAATGTTGGCAAGTATGAGCCGTCTGCTCGGTGTTTCCTAAAACGTTAAAGCACGTTTGGCTTCACACTGACAAACAGACCCAGCTTCGGCACAAACCTAAACTAACTAACCGACCAAAGAGCCGCGTTAAGTGGCGATATCACTAACGTCACGTAACTTAGCCGAAGGTTAGCTAAATTTGACTTTGTAGGACTTTTTCATTATGCTAACATTTGTGATATGACTGCACTGTGCTGTTGTTGTTGACTCCACCTAATTCTACAATTCTTTCATTATGCTAACATGTGTCCTGGTGTATATATGAAGTGGGATAAAAACCCAGAACTAACTTTTAAGAGTTTATTTCTTCTCCGCTTCGACAGTCGGCCATTTCCCCAAAACGTCCTCCAACCTATGATTCCAATGAATCCTGGTGGGTCAGGAACTGCTTATAAGCATCTTGTAATCGTCGTTCCAACACAGCGTGTTTGTTTTGATTCGTAGACCCCGAAAATGGTGCCGGGCTCCCACAATGCATTGCGGCGTGCCGTCAACTCCAAAGCGTCATTCAAATCTGTGAGAGCGCGCAAGGAACGCCGCCTCTCCGCGTGCGTTTCTTGTGACGTCACTGGCAGATCAAAGGCGTTCGCGCTGGTCTGTCAGACGTCACAGACAACCGAGCCTATAAATAACGGCTCTCAGACAGAAAAATCAGAACTCGATGCTCATCTGTTTGCAAAACGTTCAGCAGTCGGCGCTCTGTAATACAAGAAAATTCTCACACGCTCAAACGGAGAAAATCTAATTTGTGACACAACAATGGAAACCATCAACGAAAATTCAATCGTGGTCACACCAGACCAGATTATCCCGCCAATCAACAGGTGCTTTGAAAGGCTCTCTGAAGTTCAGTGGAGCATTATAGAAAATGGAAAATGCGACTCCAGCATCCATGCCGTGCTCGCTGATATGATTTCTGAAATCATTCAGATCGCCTCTGCCAGCATCCTGGAAATAGCCCTTCCTGTTATTCAGGAACCCATGATAAGGGAAGAGTTTATGGATGAGGGGAAAATAAGGGTGTCCCTCGGAGACTCGATCTCAGCTGCCATCGCCGGCGCTCTTAATGTCTCAAAACAGCAAGATAAGAGCGCTGACAAGCTGACGCTGATGGTTGAGGAAGAGATCTCAGAAAAGGTCAGCTCAACCATTGCACTGATTGAAAAAAGCCCCGATTTCCCAGTAGACCCTGCCGTTTATGTTAGCGGCAAATTTAGTAGTATTAAGAAACTACACCGCATGGTTTGTTGCGCTGCCTCATGCCTGAAAAGGTATGCAGCATGTAAGCTGCGCTGCCAGTGTGGGACAAATGGGTCTCATTCCAGTACAGAACGTACTGGTTCAAAAATATCAGTGCAATCAGCAATCGCAGAGATTTCTGTTATTCTGTCAACAAGGAGCTCAGATGGAGAGATGACAGGAAAAGATAAAGATGAGCTCCCAGAAGAATCAGCTCTAACAGCACAAAGCAAAATAAAACCCACTGCAGAAACACAAAGTATCCAGGCTCCAACCCCAGTAGAAATGGTTGCAGCTGACATCGTAGGTGAGATACTTGCTAACATGGATTCAAGCAGTGAAGAGCTCTGTGAGAAATGTAACTTACCCAAACCTGCCTTTAATGCAGGCTTAATTATCCACAAGGTGAGACACTTCTTCTCCAAATGTGTGCCAT